ATGAGTCACAAAACAACAGTCCAGTCACCAGTGGAAAAACACCCCAACGGGACCAGAGGACAAAGGACCAAGAACAACGGGACAACCAAGGGCAAACGGGAGAAGAGGAGGAAGAGGGACACCAAGTCGTCAGACGTATACGAACTTCCATCAAGACAGCACCTCCTGCCAGAGATCCTGGGAATACAAAGTGTGTGTGTGACGCGTACGTTATTATACTCTGATACTCGAATATACCTACCGTACTTATCACCTGAATCCGTGTCAACCGTTACTAAACATGACGGGGACAGAAACATCACGGTATCAGAGACTCGAGGCGGGAGAATTGAACCGCGTTCCGAACATCACATTTTAATCCTTCATTCGACTTCAACCCGGATTAATGACATCCAAATTTTTATGCATCACATCAAAGCCAAAGCTTCATCCACTGACTATCTGTAAAATAAGTGGAGCGAAGAAAAAATATACAGTTTTGATTCTCAAGCATATTTTTATCCGCCAATTTTTAATGGCTATTTGTAAATTTTATCAGATTATTATTGTTGTGAATGGAATCTTTCAGGTGATTTAGATTTATAGATGTAAAATGATTTAAAAACTGATAATTAATTTCAATATGATGTGATGTTAGAAGATTAGCTGGACTCTAATCCACTGTGTCCTAATCATCTGGATATACAATACAGTACAACACTGTAGAGCAAATTCAAATTTTATTGATATTTTGCTAATACTGTACAATTCTGTGACTGAAAGAGGGGCGCCAATTCTACACAGGAATGAGTTTTTCACCCAAATCATGCTCCTAAATTTTTCTGCTGGGAATTTTATTAATCGAGGCCCGAGTTCATTTAACCATAGACTTCGCCCATCTCTGGAAATAATCGTGAAGATGTAGCCTAATTTATTAAAAGATGTGGTAAAAATAAGATGATGAAATCGTAAATGTATAGTGGCTTTGGATCCGTGAGTTTCAAAAATACTACGCATACCAACTTTCTTGTTCTCTCACATTACCTGTGCATACCACAATCTGATGCAAAATCGTACCAACTTCGGATCTTAGAACCGAATTTAAAAACACGCGTGAGCAAACACGAATTTATTGTTTTCAAAGTACAAGAAAGTATAAAAAAAACACTTGTGACGCATCAAGTATCAGGAACGTATTTCATGTATCCAAACAAGTTCACACCCACCTGCCTAATTGAAAATCAAAACCGAGGTTAGCAGTATATACATTTCAACAAAAGCTTCCAAGACTCACTTGGCAATTTCCGTTACACGTCTGCCGGAAGCAACGCATTTGTACTTGGGATTCAGCAAAAGATCAGCACTTCCTCTGTAAATCAAGTTGGATCTTTCCATGGATTTTATCTAGCGGGAAAATTGTCATTCGTATCAAACTTCAATTTTGTAAAGGAAAAACAACGCGAAAAGAATGCGGATTCAATTACCAACGGAAGCAACCCGGAATCGCCAATTACATCCACAACATCCTCTTCCGGGTTGGAGGTCTCAAAAATGTTCTTGAAAATGGCAAGCAATCGGCTTCTGGTGAAATACTGAGGTCCATTGTCGGGGGCATATTTCTTGTCTGCAGCAAATTTCGTCCTCCTGTGATTTTCCTTGTGACGCTTCGAGAAAAATCTGGCGAAAATGTTCCATCAATCAGCTTCCAGATTTATAAAACTCAAAATTAAATAAGGAAGACTCACATTTTATCCCATTTAGGTGAATTGTAAGAAGCAATGAATGCGGCGATCAACAAGAATTTTCCCAACATGGGCAATTCCACTCCAGCATCTTGAATCGCAGAACTGAAATGCACAAAATTATTCCAGTAAATACAGGCAAATTAAAAAAAAAAAAAGCTTCCAGCACAGAGAGAAATAAAAAAAACGTCAGAAAATAATTCCATATTGCCTCATTTCAAGTCCATGTATAATTGGAAAGTTGAAATAAATATCTATACATTCTAAATTTTCTTTGGCAATTTTTTCCTTCTTCAAACAATTTGTTGCACGTTTTCTAAGTACAGTATAATTGAATCTCTTTATTTCAGACGGCAAGCAATCCAAATATTTGACTAAGGGAGTTTTTGAGTTAGGGGAACTAGTATTTTTGCTTGTATGAAGAAAAAAATGAAGAATTACAAGAAGCTAAAATTCGTGATCCTTTGGATCCTTAACTGCGTTGTAAATGAGTTGAACTATGAGAAAAGTGTTAATTTGCCTTATAAGTCACTAAATTTCTTTTGAAAGGCATCAAGTTACATTATTAGTGCTTTTCTCTGTCCTCGGTCCAAAGAATAACAGCAAAAAGGCTTCTGAACTTTCGAGGGAAGTCATTTGAGGAACAGAAGTCTATAATAAATTGTTCTTAATGGAAATCAAACGGGGGCTTAACAAAAAGATATAAAGTAAGGTTTGCAAAGGCCCAAATATCTAACAAAAAATTATAATCCTCCTTCTCCGCAATTCACTCAATTTCAAAGACAGGAAAATGCAAAAATTGAAAAACTGGTCAATTCCTTATAGTAAACTTTCCAATTAAAATCAAAATCCTTGGAATAACCCACACTCACCTCCTAGTATCAAGCATTCTCAAGTGAATATCCATTACAGCCTTTTTAATATGCGGGGAAGCAAAAGACCAAATCTTCATAACCTCTTCTTCCGTCGGCTCCCCATCATCATCATCATTAGTCCTCTCCAAACACATCTTCACCAACTTCCCATTACACACGCCAGCAACACTTTTCGCAATGCCAACAATCTGTCTCACATTCCTCGTTATCGAAAACACAGACTTGACGACGTTCCGGAGCAACGCCTTCAGTAATTTCGGGTCGACGCCTTCCAAAACCACGGATTGACACACGATCCCAATCACTTGATCCTCTGTTAAAGGTGGCACAGTGATTGAAAGAGGAACAGAGGCGACTTTGCGAGTCATGAACTTTTCCCAGGGGAGTTTCGAGACGAGGATGACGCAAACGTTTCGACAGGTGATTTCTTGCAAAGAGAGTAAATAGGAAAGAGCGTCTTTTTTGTCGAGGTACACGAAGGACTCGGCGTCTTCGAAGACCAGACACAATTTGCGTTTGGTCAAGATGAAGGGATTCAGGGCACGGGTCAAGTCGGGGTTGAATTCCATGCACAGCATTTTCTCTTTGGGGTCGGTGATTGGCCGAGCAAATGCCTCATTTTCCATCACTTGAAAAAGTGAAGATAAATTAATACAGTATTTTCAATACAAATTTCAACTACGGTCATATTATTTAAAAATTACATAATCCAACTTTGCTTCTACAATAAACTATGAATAGCGAACAAATCTTTTCATGTAATTCTTGGCACACGTCAAATTAAGTATTTTCAATACAAATTTCAACTACGGTCATATTATTTAAAAATTACATAATCCAACTTTGCTTCTACAATAAACTATGAATAGCGAACAAATCTTTTCATGTAATTCTTGGCACACGTCAAATTTTAACGGATGCTGAGTACAGAGGGGCAGCGACATACAGACGCCCTGAAATATGGAAATTTTAAATAAAAAAAAACCACTTGAAAATCAAAAACAACCTAACCCCAACATTAAAAAAATGTTTCAAAATATGGACACTTTGCCAAAATTTCTAGAAAAAATGGAAATTTTAGTAAAACAAATTTGTTTAATCTCTTGAACAAATTCATATTCAAGACTCATTACTCATATTCAAGAAAATTAAAAATAATAACAATTTTCTTTTTTCTTTGTTTTTGTGCTTTGCTCATAATCTCTGCACTGTATGACAAAACAAGTGAATTTTTTATTTTGTTTTCTTCTGCACAGTTATTTTCTGTATCTTGAAGTTGAGATTCTTACTACATTTTTTCAAAAACGTTTTCCAAATTTTTGACAAACAGAAGAACCACTATTGAAATTTCCCAATGAATTCTTTGGGAGAAAGTGATCAAGCATGCGGACATTCCAACATATAGAAAAGGCCCATTAACCTATTATGTCCTCATCTCGGGGCTCCACTGTTACTTAGTCACGAATAAAAAAAAAGCTTTCAATTTCTTCAAAGAAATGAAGGCAAATACGGCATTGAATTATCTGGTATAGTATCATATAATTTTTCAAGTTATATAAAAATAGTTTTCAACAGTTTCACAAGGGTTTTGGGCCTTGTTCCACTGCAGAATGTTTGCCTGGCTTTTCAAATATTGCAACACACAATTTAAATTTCAACTTGAGCTAAATCCGCTAAAATAAATACCCACAAAAATGTTGTCATGCACCGTATAACACACTTTTTATGTCATACAATTGTAACAATCCTGATGGAAACCTAAAATAAGGTGAACCATAAAAATAAGAACCAACGCTGTATACTTACAGGCCATAATTTTGGCAATAATCAGCTCCTCGAAATCCTTTTTAAAATTGCAGAATTGCGACTGAATCCTCACATGCGTGATTCCAGTGGAACCAAAAAACTGGTTTATGTAATAAGACTTCCCAGAGGAACGAGGACCATACAAAAATATGCTCGATGGAACAGTTCCATGTTTCTGAAATGAAGCACAAATCACACAGAATACTTTTTAAAAAATATGCGTCCACAAACAAAACTCACAGATCTTCCGATCAACAGGTCGAGTTCCGGAAGTGAAGAAGAGACTGGCTTTGTTGGGCTTTCCATATCCCAAAGACTCACACGCGTCTATGAAAACGATTTGTCAAGAAACCAATTAGACAATAAATAAAAATAAAACATGGACGCACATGAACTTCTTCAATCGAAAAATTTTGAATTTTGAAGGATTTCGCTTGAACGAATTTTTTTCTTCAATTGACAAGCAAATTTTATCCAGAGAACGAGTTCAGAACTTCACGCACGACCCACTCAGAAAAAAAAGAAAAATTCAAGGACACCAACAGGAATCCTGGCAACAAGGAAATTGCATTATCCATCAATTGATGACTCGTCAATGTGTCAACAGCAAGAAACCCAATGTAACTTTTACCCCACCCGGTAACTGGAAAATAAAAACCACAGGGCGATAATATTTCAATCAAACAAGAACTTCCGCTCGTAATAAAAGTCTTGGCAACTCGATTTCCAACGTATTTTCCGTCGTATCTACAAACCGTATTTTTCTACATTAAAACCTGCTCAACAATATAGCACAACACTTCCAACATGGACACACGCTTTTCTTCCTTTTTTTTTCTTACTGTAAATCGGCAAGACGGGATTTTGTCTCCTTTTTTCCCCCAAGGGAGAAACAATTGCAAACGACTAGCTGATGTTGACAAAAAAAACAAGATAAATGCGGAAAAAATGCTTGGCACTTTGAACCAAGAAAGCACTGGAAAGTCCATTCAAATCAACACATTTCTTTCAGTTTCCTACTCAAAAACTACGATGCGTCCAAAAATTTGGAACTTTTCTCGATCAAAAATGCATAAGCAATGACATCTGCCGACATTGAAAGAAATTTCCCGAAACATCGTAAATGAAACAATCATCTAAATATACGTGAAAAATGAATCAACTGAAAGAAAAAAAATGAATGTGATCACAACTGAAGAATACGAACGAAGAACAATAACTGTCTTCGGCCAGATTGGCAGGGTAACTTGGCCTCCAAAATGGAAACGCGGACTTCAAACATCTCCTGGTTGAACAAAATACTTTTCACTCGTCTAAAAAATATCCTCTATTATGAACACCTACATCCTCTAAATTTTCTTTCAGAAGAAATTTTTCTGGCAACAAGTCTACCAAACACAGCCCCAAGAGAAAAAAAAAAAAAACCGGGTACTTTCGACTTTTTCGGAAAATTGAGTATCACCATCAGAAAACCGAGGGCAAGATTTAAAAAGTGGATTTCGGAATACTCAAAGAGCTTCCCCCCCCTCGATATACGACACCTTTTCTCCCTATTCCATCAAAGAAATCACGCAGGAAATTCATCGGCATTCACCCGTCCAACGTAAATTTTCTTCTTACAGCTCACTTTCTCCAACTCTTTTCACAGAGGAAGACCAATGAGATCAGCACTTATTCTCGTCGCTCTTTTTCTCCAGTTCGGAAACTTTGGTCAATGCGACGTGTACTCGGAAATGCAACCGCGATTCCAGGGAATAATCCACAAAATTTGACCTGGAAGAAGAGCGAAAATCCGCCAACAGTGAACAGTGATGCTTCACACAACGAACTTCACTCGCCACAAGGAATACTTCGTTATACTGGGAGTTCAATTCTCACATGAAACAAATTTCAGGACGAATTCGAGCTTTATTCAACTAATTAAATAAGTCAGAAAAATAAAGCGGAACAAAGAATATGTCAGTGACATATATCCAGAAAGGTGTAAACATATTACGCATTCGTACACTGCGAAGAAATATTCCTCAGGAATTCAAACATTGATCTTTGTCTCACGTCTGAGGAAAGTTTTTTTTTTTTTCATTGTTCCACAGCTAATTTTAGCTGCGGGTAAACAGCTCCAGAAAACGAATAAACGCATTTTTAAATGTTTGTTTATCTCTCTTGCTGAAACATGTTGTTCATAGGGAATGACTAATTTGGAATAAATACATCGTTCAAAAGCCTGATAGCTTAAAAATGCCTTTTCAATCATCCGATTCTTTCTAAATTCGTAAAAATGAAGCGTTTAAGCCCGAACCTGTGCAGCTTCATTTTTTTGGCCCTACATTATCGATTAATGCTAAAAGTTTGCGTTCAACACACGTTAGCAAAAACAATTTTTGAGCAAATGTCGTCTTTGCAAGTCCAGAAACACATAAAACTTCCAGATTAATTCTTTCTGCATTCGTAATAATAAAAAAAGCATGAAAGATCGAACCTGGCAAACTGAAGCTGTTTTTTGGCCCGTTCGTTTTGTCCCTGAGATAAGTACAAGTACCCGAGCTCTGCGGCAGCATACGGAAGCAGGTACTTGTCTTCCACCACGTTGCATTTGAGGGCTTCCTCAAAATACTCTTCAGCCAGTGTAGGAAGTCCCATCCAACGCAAACAGCAACCCGCAAGCAAGTTGCACAGACACAGGTTGTCAGTCTTGAAATTATCAACCAGCTTCTCATCTGTCAAATTTCACCACAATTAAAAACTCGAGATAATTTCAATAATCTTTGAGAGTTTCGTGAGTTACTTCTTCATGAATGTCTTCGAGACCAATTTTCTCTCGCAAAATCTGGATTTCGCCTCAATCGAATGAAAGCCGTTTCAACATTTTGGTCAAGTGAATGATGCCATTTCAGTTGCCATAGGTTTACAGCGTACCATTTTACGTGAAATGACAGATTTTTCAAGTTTGAGCTTCAGGCGACATTTTAGGTAGCAGAACAAGGGTTACAGGAAAAATGAGAGGGATTTTCGTCCTCCCTCAATAAATTTCAAAAAGAGGAGTTCCAAAGTGAAGATTACATAAGAAAAACTCGCAAACACATCCTCGTCAACTCGGGCAAGATGAAAATACATATTTTTCGGCACTTTAGTTCGAAAACCTCACCTTCAATCTGTTTTTTAGTGTCCAGAATCCGCGAGTAAATACGCTCCAACAAATCCTGTCTCCTCGAAAGAATAGCAAAACCGTTCCACACAAAAATCAGCTCAAAGGCCGGCAAGACGAGGTACGATCCCTGAGCAAAAAAGCGTTCTGCTTTTCGCACGCAAAACTTTTCGATTGGAACGGATTTTCCGGCAATTCTCTGCTTATATTTCGGCACTCGGCTGCAACAATTGACCCATTACGGACAATGAAATGTCGGAGAATAAATTCGGTAAAAAAAATAACTCACCGCATTAATTCCTCGATTTCTTCCTTGTCTTCCGCAGAAACCGTCGCTTTCATGGAGATGCAAGAGGCTTGACAATACGCGTAAAAACAACGCGACCATTTCGACTCAGTCAGCAAACGTTTCGCGTTTTTGCTGGCTTCATTCCAGTTCCCAACAAACCTAAAAATTCATACTAAAATACATTTTTTTCCGCAGTAAAACTTGCAAGTAACTCACATATTACACCAAATCAACTCCCAAAAGCAGAAGTGATGGAACTGAATCAACTCGTCCTGGGAATCGATCGACTTCTGGTACTCTTCCATCGCCAGTTCAACATTGCCAGACACCAGCTCAACTCGGCCAGAGAAGAACAGGAAAAATGCGCCATTCGGGTATTTCTAAACATAAATAAAATATTTAAATAAATTCAATAGATACAGCTCGCCTCTCTCCACAACGAAATGGGGCTATAACGATTTTCTCTGCACAAAGAATCAAGTTTTGGTCCCTCTAATTTAGTTTAAAAATATGATTTATTTTCGAAGTACATTCAATAATTTTGATTATACTCAGAATATTTAAACACATTCATTTCCTCAGAATACGAATCCAGCAATGCAAACAGGGCTAAAAATCGTGCTCAGAAATCTGTGTACCCAAACGTCTACTTTTCTACAATTATTTCAAGAATACTTTTCCCGTATAATTTCGAAAACCTTGAGAATATCAAAATAAGATGTACTCACCTTCAGCATATCCTGAACGATTGATTTCGCTTTTGGGACATCGCCATCTCCGACACCCGCGAAAAAGCAAATGAAAGTATGGTAACCAAGCAGCACTAAAGCGCTCAAAACACTTCTCAAAGCTCCATCGCATTCGAAACTCTTCTCAAGCTGAGACAGTCCCAATTCCTGCAAATTAATTTGTCGAAGAAAAAATTTTATTAGCAATTTCAAAACCCAGCAGCGTACTTTCGGTGGTATTCAAGATTTTTTTTTTGATGAGAAAAGGGAGCTGGTGATGAGTATTTCCACCTTTGGTTCATCAAAGTACGGGAAATATTACAGAAAAAAATCTATTCCACAAAATCCGCTCCATTCAACGATTTTAATACGTGATCAACACCAATAACGAGTTCAAGGCACGTGAACCAAGCAGAAGTAAAATTTGAAATGAAAACGAAATTCAAATCTTTGAGCAATAAAAGTTAAGTTTGTGCAGATAAATTTCTACAAGACGGATTTCATGGATTCCTAAGAACCGAGAATAAGCAAACTCGTGCAAGATTGTCGACAGATGAAACGATTAGGATGAATATTTCAGCGACTCACCTTCGTTCCAGAAAATCCGATCCACTCCAAAATTTTCAACACCCTTCCAGGCAACATGGAAATTAGAAGATTGAAAGCACCAACACCAAGACGAACACCACTTTCGAAGTTATTTTGCAATTTATCGTTCGTCCACATCGGTTTCTCTTTCAGAATATTCCAGCACTCCCTATTCAAAAAACAACAGGAGCAATTTGTTCAACTTATTCTGAATATTCTCATAAACAAAAAAATTCGTCACCTGTAAGCGAAGTATCCATGGCGAATCTGCAAAGCTCCTTTCACAAAGCTCGACAAAGTTTCGTCTTCCAGAAATGTTAATATGGCTTTTTCTAGAATACCTTCGGCATAGCAAAGCTCAGCATGGCGTTCTTCTTCAGTATAACTCGCATATTTTTTGCCTCTGACAAGTTTCGACACAGTCTGCCAATTTTCAATTCAGAAGTATCATTTTTATGTTACTCATCACTTCATGAAAATGGAAGTACCTGCTTGACGCTTTCCTTCTTTCGAAACCGCGCACAAACTTGAACCGAAGCTTTCAAAGCGGCGACGGCAGATTCTAATTCACTCTCATTCATCGTCATCACAGCTTGTAGGAAAGCAAACGTTCCTGAGCCCAATGCGTGGTACATACTCGAGTTTTTCCCTACATCCATTAGCCTTTTGCTTTCCAAAAACCGGTTACTCAAGAATAGGTCCAAGGCGCGTGAAGCAAGGTCGATACTTTGATCGAGGCTAAAGCTCGAGGATTCCAAAGAAATCGGCTCCAAGTCGAGATCGTCGTAGGCTTCGTCAGCGTCAAGAAAAATCTGGAAATTTCACACGTCAAATTCTGAAAAGAAATCCGAAGGGAAGTTGTGCGCATGGTGATCTTACGTCGTCATCGTCTTCCACGTCCGGAGAGTCCAAAGGCTTCGTCACAGTCACAGCAGCCATTTCGATTAGTCTATCGAAATAAACGGATAGATTCCATTATAAAGAAAACTCAGCGTTACGCACTTTTACAATAACAAGAGCAACAAGCATCATTTAATGATTTGACACACGTTCGGACGCGAAATGAATCAATAAGTTCCGTTTAAAATACTCTGACAAAGCGAGTTGAACTTTTTACAATTCAGGGTGTCACCGGGAATGTAAAACGGATTGCAAACGAGCTCCGTGTACACGTTGTGGAGCCTGCGGAACATTCCCTTGACATCGTTTTCCCGCAAAGAAGTATCACTAGCATCCCAAATAATCATAAACTTGATCCGAGTATTGGTAACGTAGCCGTAGGCCTTGTACACATTGTGTTCTTCCGGTTCGACTCGGAACTCTTCCGGTGTGTGGAGTAATCCGAGGTATTGTTCGCGGAAATCCGGACCTCCGCCTTGTGGAGGCTTTGAAAAGGCGGCGAGTCGTTCTTCAACCACGTCCATGCAACCGCAAACTGTTCGGTGGAAGTCGAGTTCGCGCGAAGGATCGGCGACTTGTAGGAACAACGGACTGTTCTCTTTACCGAGCACCGCGATGCACTTCGCCATAGCGAATCACGCAGGAAAACTAGACATTCAACAAGTGAAATACAGTTTTGATCTTTCTAATTGACACAAACCACTGATACGAAATCCAACGGAGCAATCACGGCACGTGGTCCGCAGTGCGACGCGCGCGAGATCCACTGGGCTTCACTATCAACTTGATGCTCTGTGTTTCACAGCTACGCTCTATACACACTAAACATTCAAACGGGGATAAAAACCGCGCTTTAATCTGGAGCAAAGCCATCTGAATGTGATAAGAAGGAGGAAAGCTGTCCATGATCTGAAATGGGCAAGTCCACAATAAAGCCGTGAATTGAACAAAAATGTACAGTACAAAAAACGCATGTATTCAATGCACACTATTGTACTACGCTTGCACAGATGCCACTCCAACCAAAAAAGGCATTATGCAATTGCAAAAAAAAATTCAATTTTCAACATTCAGTTTTCAAATGCATGGCATAAATGTAAAATTGAAATAATAACGGGAAAAATTCTGGTGCTATTACATCAACATTCTATTCAATTTTGTAAGATTAAAGTGATTTAAAAAGCGCAGGGGAACAATTTTCAAGAATTTTGAATTTTTAGTTAGAAACAGGAGGTGAACTTCCTTTCTAAAATGCAATTAAATGGACCAGAAAATTTCTTTGAAGTCAAGAACTCCTATAACATGGGCAAAGCGCCCTGTAGACAAAAATTGTTTACACCAAAATATTGATGTGAAGGGAGTCCACCTGCATTTTAGTAAATTGCCATATTAACCAGGGGTCCATTCATAATACAGTATTCTCTACAGTAATCAACTTGATGAACTTTTATGATTATCACCCCTGGAATTAACATAATCACAGGTAAATACTGTACTGAATTACCGATCTTCTCTGTCGTAAAAATCCCACTACCATAGTAGCTATATTCGCGGAGAAAAAAATCCTCAAGACAATCACAACTAATTTATCCAGCATTCAAAAATAATTATTATAATCATGGTATGGAAGTAAATATGAAGCATCCCAAAATTGTTGCCATGCTTCTTTTTCCAGCCTAAAGTGGGCACTACTGAAATGAAGAAAAAAAACACAGGAATCATTAAAATCGTATTATATTTTTTGACAACATTCCCACAATGTCCAGCACAAGATGGTGATTCAGAAATGATTGACCCAAAAAGTGGAATCGGTGACAATATGAAGAACATCTAATAGACTGCGCATTACACTATGGCACAAATGATACAAATGCACCCACACAACAGATAAAAAAAAAGAAAGATACAAGAGGACAAAAAAAAAAAAAAAACAAGCGACTCCACAATATGAGAAGAGAATGAAATTCAACAGCCCGCGAAAATTCCGCGCTTATTCAGGTCAACTGAAAACTGGCAAAAAAGGAGTGAACTGGATTCTTACAATCACACACTCTAACCATAAAAACTCGTGCCGCAACAGCCATGAAAAATAACTTCTGCGTAATGCTCATCTTAGCTCCCTGCTGTCTGCAAAGTACAATGCGCACTCATTCCCTCCAGTCAAATAATTCCCAGGCAGCCGCGAATAAAAACACAATACGAGGCGTCTGTAATCAACATCAACGTCACGTCAACAGAGTCCCAAAAAAAATATATAAGAAGGGCGGCGGAAAGATGGCATCTACACAGAGAGAGAAAAATATCTGATAGCAAAAGGAAAGTTTCTCCCACCTTCTCCGCATCACTTTCTAGACGAGCTTGATGAGAGAGAGAGGAAAAAATCAGAGTCATAGAAGACGTAGTGCCTTATCAGTTCTTGCACTGGAAGCCTCGAAAATTTCCACCTTCTTTCGAATTTTTCGCGACACTCGAGACAATCGTCATCATATGATTTCCAAAAATGTCCGCGTTGATGCTGCCCACCAACAGATGACACTCGTTGTCATGGTCAAAATATGATCCAAAACCTTCGTTCTGCCAATTTCGCGCAGAAAACATTAATACTTAAGCAATTGAGAAGCTCCAGAAGTTGAATTAGAATTACTGGAATATTCAATTGGCCTTTTTACCACAAAATATCAGGTACTGCAACACGTGCGGTCAGCCATCAAAATATAAATTCAATTAAGGCGATATCAGCGATCTTCCCGAGTAAAAACACGAAGAGCTCAAGGTCATGATGTCACAGAGCCAAAGATGGGAAATTTCAATTACTGAAATCTGGTCGATTATCCTGCATCGACACACGAACAATTAAAAATCGAAGCGTGGGGAACACCCGAGTGCAAGGACTGCGAAGCCACTCAAGAAAAAGAAAGAGAAGCTCTAAATCAAGAGGTCCTCAACCTCTTCTGACCAGCAAAGCCTCGTTTTCGAATCGCTTTCTACGATTGAAACCCTTCCATCATTTCGAGTTTCTGACGCAATTTGTGTGCATCCGGATTCTTGAGCCAATTACGTTTTAAATTTAGGATCACTCCAAAAAAATTCAAGGAGGTCACCTTACCGTTTTTTTTTTCTCAATCCTTAATAGAATTCCGCAAATTTGGTCTAAAGATTCTCGAATCATCAAATACTAGATTAAACAAGCCTAAATCATCATCAAACGATTCAATGATGCGAGATCGCAAACATTAGTTGTGTAACCCTGTTTAATTTTGCTTCACATTTAGCCAAAATTTTGTCTCTATATTCTCCTTAGTCTGGTCAGAGCCGATTGAGAACCTCACTCTCTAAATCAGGGCTTTTCAACCTCTTTTTTTTTGGTGTGTCAAAATTGTACCACTTTCAGGATGTGCTAGAGTACACTTAAATGTACTGTACCACCTGTAAACTCTATTTACAAACGGAGCTCGTATCAAATTCAAGACACATCACTTCACCAATGCTTCATATCATCATACTCGACATCTTTCTTCCTCTCCAATGCTCCGATTTATCCCCCTCCCCCCACAATATTTCAGCCTTTTTTTTCTCATCTCGCCTGGGGGTTTATCTCAAGTTATCCACTGATTGAAAAGCCCCGGTTCAGATTTGATTCGAGCTTCAGAAATGAATTTCCCCTCTTTTTTTTTGTTTCGTCTCGAGAAAAGCGCGTCGCTCGTGTCAAAATTCGTTCGAAAGGCGTCGCTCTTCAACCCAACGAAGAGCAACGCGGGGAAGAACAGAAGAGGATGAGAGAACAAGAAGAAGAAGGAAAAATTGTTTGTGAGAGCAAGAGACAGACCGAGAGGAGCGATGCAACAGTGAAACGCCGACACTCCGCCCGGTTCTATCACAAAGAAATATAATCCGTCTCCTTCGCTTCGGCAGTTCGACCCTGTTTTTTTTCTTCTTTTTTTGCAATCTGAGGGATTATCTCGGTTGGCGGTAGAGGAGGAAGTCCTTGATTGTGGACGGCAAGACCATGGAGTTGACGGCCTTGCTGAAGTTCTTGTGGCGTTTGCCCACCTCTTGCCGTATCACGTACCGGCTCAACTCCGTCAGCGGCAACGGATCCGCTTCAAGTACATTTTCGGGTGAAAAAGAACGAATTGCAATTTCGAAAAAAAGGCTCACACGAAATGTCAAACGAATTTTCACCTCCCCTTAATCGTTGAAAAGCTTTAAATGTCAACAATTTGGGGGCACAGAAACGAAAACGCAATTCAAATTTCAAAAGAAAAACTCATTCGGAATAGTAACGAACGATCACTCTAAATTACTACGAGTAATAGCCATAAAACTTGTTTACCTCCTTTCACTTGTTGAAAAATTTTCACACTTGACCTTGATTCCGTTCAAGGATGGCAACATCAAAACACAATTGCAAATTCGAAAAAAATATAACCAGGAATATTCCTTAGCTCTTATAGAAAGCGATACAAGAGACTGATGAAATATGTTTACCTCTTTTCATTTGTTAAAAAAATGCTTACAATTGAACTTATATTTGTTTCATGGTTGCAACATAAAAAAATCTTCACTCAGAAATCGTGCAAATCTTCTACACAACGAGATCGTTCAATTTTAAATTTAATGAAGAGACACGCGAAATCTTGTTCAAACAGTTTGAATACTTAACGAACAATCTTCAGTATTACTGTATTTTCCTATAACTTTATTATTGCTGAAAAAATCACATTCCAGGATGAACATTAGTCGAGACGCATACAGAAGAGAATGGAATGACCTCTAATGTTGATCTTTCGAAAGCATCAGGGATGACATCGCAAAAATTCTCACACTTTAATTTTTTTTTGCGATGACGGTTGAATTTAGACTGACATTTCATTTAACTGCGTCGAATTATCATTCCGGAAAATTTTTAAAATTATTTTGGAACCCTTCATCATGAAAATCACCCAAAATTGTTCTACTTGAAAAATGATATATATTATATTGATTTGCTCCAAAAATTCCTTTTGCTTGTAGTTCCTCCTGTGTTTCATTTTTTCGTTCATTTCTGATTGAAAAATAATGATGAATTTTCTTCCGATATACTCTTTCAAGACTTGATTTGTTTCTAACGTTCTCCAAGAGTTTAAATGCGTTTTCTGCTCACATAAAACGCCAGATTTCAAGGATGTCAAGCTTAGTGAAATTTACGCGCTTTTCTGAGACATAAGCATAAGAAAAATTCAAAATCCGGACATTCTAAAACCTCCAAAGATTTTGTAGATATCCGGTGAGTTCATCAATAGAAAGCACCCAATTTAAGCGTTTTTTTCTTTAAAAAATGCTTTTCCTTCAGATGCCATTGTTTTTATATCCTGCGAGTTTTGAATCAAGAACTTGGGCTGAAACTCTTTTCATTTACTCCAGGATCTTCCCAAATAAGTGAGGACTCACAGATCGAAACGTTACATCACCACCGTAACATTGCAACAAATATTTAATAATTTTCAAAAAAAAAATTGAGGAAAAGTAGAGAAAAAAACGTTCGAGACTCACGTCGTAAACCTCCAACGTATATCATTGAGATTTCACTGTGGCCCCAGACAGCAGAAACAATCGGATATAAGGTTTTCCCCTTCAACCCTGTAAATGCCGGTCCCAGGTACTGGTTGTCAACAACGAAGCTCAACGTGCCCTCATCCATATCAAGGACAACTGCAACAAACACACGCATGCATAACAGTGAGATGATTTCAAATCGACACACTTCGCATCCGCAAAAAAAAAAATCAGGAAACAGGTAATCATTGAAAATAACAAATAAACTACATTCCGAGAAAAAAAAAGAAATTACGCGCAACTTTCAATTTCTATTCGTCGCGAATAGCATCCGAAATTGCGTATCCGTTATTCATGAATCATGCAACTGATATCGATAAAAGTTCCAAGAATGGGTTAGTTATGAAGAGAACAATTGAAATTGGAACGAAAAATGATTATGTACTTCACACATCAGATCGATTATTCAGCAAAGGAGAACAAATTCCTGATGCGCTTCAAGCTATGAAATTTGAAGGTTTCAATTTACCTTCTGGACCCAGAAGAGAAATATTTTTATACTGTCATTTAGCAACAGTCCCAATGCCAAAACAAAGCAGCTCTCTCGTCGAAACATTTTCACGCTTTGCGAAACCTTTCTTCTCAACAGTAAATGGCGGATCACTGGCTATCAAATTCGCGGAGTCACGTACAGTACTGTACTTATGACGACATTCACGTCGCAAATCTTTTTCATCTCCAGGTAATAAATCACAAACAGATCTTAAGAAATTTCTCCTAAGGCCTTCTTGTGCAACACTGGGGAACTTTTACAATGCAACCTTCATAACTAAAATACCTCCCCAATTCGAATTTTCTTCAAATTTCACTTCCTATAGAAACCTCATTAACTCAAAGGATTTCCCCCTCAAACCTACAAAATTTTCATTTTCTGGAAGCCTTTTAGCTATTACTCTATTTAGAAAGGAAAGAGAAAGGAAACAAGATGTAAAAATGTGTTTTGAAAGGAAGTGAAGAACTAATTGGGCAAATGAACCCTTGCCTCGGCCCAGAAAATCACCAATTACAATTTCCTCTATTTCGCCTTTCTTTACCTCAACAAAAATCCTTCCCTACCTCGAATTTTTTTTTCATGATCCCATGAGTTCAACTGTACACTCGCAAAATGTGTCTTTTCTTTTACGTGAACCTGGAGACGATCTCTCAGTAAAATTTCAATACGTACTCTGTTTTCGAATTCATTAAAAAGCACACAAATCGAAATCGTGACACGCACCCAAAAACGTGTCGGGCACGACGAAACTCGTGTCGGGACCGAGACAGGACGGGTACACGGGCACGTCGGCCGAATAGGGTTCGCGGCAATTGTGCAGGAGCTTGTTCTGCCTCAGGTCCCAGCCCCACGAGTGGTCGTCGCGGCCGACGAGCGACGTGTAGCCGACGTAGTGGAGCGGGGCGTCGGCAGTGGCGACGCCGACGGCAGCGTGTGTCCCGCGTTGTCGCGTCAACCACTTGATCTTCCACACGTGTAGGCCACGCGAGTAGCCGCACTTGCCGCGGATGCAGTCCGTGCTTTGGGCCACTGGGTGTCGGTGGAACGTCAGCTTGTCCTCGTCCTGTCCAACACAACCGAAAAGAAAATTGCAACGAACAAATTCAATCAGATTGTTTTCACAGAAGGTCGAGAAATTTTACTGTGGAGAAAAAGAGACGGAAGAAGTCCAGTTTCATCCAACGCAATGCGGATCTTTCGTTTTGCTGTCGATAAACTTATTTTACGAAGCAAAATCAATAAGTTTTCAAACTCGGATCTGTTGACTTCAACGAAACGTCGAAAAATTAAAAAAAAAAAAAAGATTTCAGTTTATACTGAAAGTCGAAATTTTCAATGAGAGAACGGATATTTGCCTCGACATCCACAGAGTCTCGAGATATGAACACCGCGCCAAAATTTCGAGGTCAATGGAAAATACTTGCTCACAATTTTATATTCCTAGGAAAAATTGAGCTATTACATAAACAAAATGGATATGATCAAGAATTCACTCTGATTGACAAACCATTACAGGATGACTCTGTGATTCCCACTCTTGGGATTTTTCATCATCAATGCCCAGTATGGCAAGACAAATGCTACCAATTGTTTTGGGCTTTTTGTCATGCCAAAGAGGCAGATTCTGCGTGGCTATTTTCTGTAATTTTTCAATTCAATTTTTGGGGAACTTTTCCCAAATTTTCTACCATTGGACCGATTGAATACGTTCTCCTCAAAGTCTGTAGGAAAACGTCATCTAACATGTGTACGTTCTGACATAGGGATGAAGTCCAAGAAAAAATCACACTTGGGGCCATACAGCAAATACAATTGAACCTCTCCAAGTCGTACATCAAGGGACCAACGAAAAAGTTGAGTTCGGAAGGTTTCAAGTTCGGGAAAAAAAGCATTTTCATCGGAGAAAGAAGAAATTCAGGAAATCGTAATTGGTGATATTGTGAGCCTTAAATTATTTCTTAAATGAGTTGACAGGAGGCTGAATTCGGATGCAGGGGCTCATTTGTCGAAATAATCTTTCACTACCGTACAAAAAACACAAGTGAAATTTTTATTCTTTTCAATTTTCCTGTGTCAATAAAACATTAATAGCCAAAAGGCCTCCAGAAAATTCGAGTCATGAAAGTTCAAGAGGAAACATTTCTGAGTTAGGGGGGTATTAAATGAACCACCGTTCTCAAGGGAATTGAGTCGGAGAAAATTCGACATAGGAAGGTTCAAATTTTTGTACATGCATCTAGCTCAACTTTTCCCAAAGCTATTCCATCAAATGATGACTTTTCCAAAACATACCATAACGTAGATGTTCAAGGACCGGTCATCGGGGTTCCAGGCATGTTTCAGCTGCTCTTCCCGACTCGCTGGAGGCAAACTGAGCAAGTAGTCAAGCCTGGCTGGCCGAGGCAAATCAGGAAATACGTTCACGTCCGTCAGGAACTTTGGGAAGGAACTCGACTGCCCGCTACGAGATTCCCCGGCAGAGGACCTGGGCCCGATCAACTCCAATCCCTTGACGATTCGGCCAACTTCGGAAAAGAAAGAAAAAAACAAGTCAAAATAAAATGAATATATGGCATTTCCCACTTTCGAGACAGTGAGAGGAGAAAAAAAAAACGCCAACACAAGCACGCAAACTAAAGCTGAATCCTACTCATTGACACAAGAGCAAATATCGTTAGCCTGAACTTTTCAGACTCCATCATTAGTACACTCGATCTGTGGAAAGCCTGTGTTCCAAAATTACTTCATGAATCAAATATTTTCTCCTTCAAGCACATCTTCTTCGTTTTTAAATAAGAAGTTGAACGAAAAACTCCTGTTGCGTGAATACGTTTAAAAGAAGAAGTACTTACGAATATTATCACCCTCCTGAGAGAATTGCTGTCCCATCCCGCCACGAGACTTCAGAGTCCTGGAGCCGTCGGAGAACGTTCTTCTTCGAGTGCCGATCGCCAACGGACGACTGTTTACTGGCTGCAGAAACCGATCACTCAGCTTGTAAGGGCCCGGAAATGGGCCTCGTTTGGACGCGGAAACAGAAGAGTTCCCGTCAATATCTTCCTTCAGAGTCTTCAACGGCGGCCCGGAATCGTCCTCGTCGTCTAGAGCCAAATCTGCGACGATTTCGGTGCTGATACCGCTTGCTCCTCTCGGACTCTCTGTTGGGTCTTCAGTAAAAACACAAAAGAAAGACAACAGTTGAAGCACTACTCATTCAAATAAAAGATACAATTCAAGGGCACAAGGGTTTGAATCCTGATTTCCGTTAGACGAGTCCGAAGAATTTAGGCACAAAAAAGGTATTATTAGGTCTGGGATGAACTTACCGTCGCGGATAACGCCACTAGTTTCGGGTGTTATGGACAAATTCAGAGCTGCATCAACCGTTGAGCCAATGCGCTTGGGGGATATGGGAATGGTGTATGGCTCTGAGTCCGAACCGTACGCTATTCTGGATGGAGCCAGAACAGCTGCGGTCGGATGCCCTTGGCTTTCCGGGCTCTTCGGAAACTCCAGGTGCTCTTTCACAGATGAACCAGTTTCACACCTGAAAGATGAAACTTATCATCACTCACGCATAACCTCTGTTTCGTTCAGAAAATTTACCCTAAGATGAACTACGAATGCGAATGAAAGCCTAAGCATGGAAGGATTACTCACCTCAAAGTTCGTCGAGGTAGACTTGAATTCTTCAACATCAGCACCACCGACGAGCTCGTTACACCGCGACATAAAATTTGTAGATGTGAGAAACTCTATAAAAAAGGCCAAAAAAGAGTCTACGACACGATTAGTTCTTCAAAATACGAAGAAGATTACGACTAATCGATGACAACGTAACACGACGAACATGTTCCTCTATTGCAAGTGTACCACTATACTTAGTAGAATCGCGAATTCACTCATTCAACGCCATGTCACGGAATCACGTACAAAGGACTGCAGCACCATACAGCAAATGACACTTTCCAGGGAGATAATAGCCAGACAAGCCCTCCGCCAGATGTTCCTCAGCTGGGGAGGTTCAAGCAGTCACCTCATGATGGTAGACCATACAGTAGAATACAAAAACTTCAAACCAATGCTTCTAGAGTGGCTCATCGCTCCAAAGTAAACTCCTCCTGAAACATATAACAAGTGACTTGGCATATTAAACTCTCAAGATTCCGTGTTAACTAATAATAAAAGAACTAGAACACTTAACAGTAGGAAATAGCACTCTTCAGAGAGATGATAGTCACATGTTCCACTCAGATGATTATCGCATCTACCTCACGGTGATCGACCGCATCGCAGGCTTAAGAGAGTTGAAGCATCTTGCGAAACGATGATTAATTGATCAGCATTAAATTTATTCTTTCGTGACCTCAAACATTTTCAGGAGTAAGGCCAGATCATTATTCTAGCTGCAATGATCATTATAACGATATTACCGCTCTATGTAAATACGAATTCACTCTTTTATTATCCGGTCGCCGAAAATGGCGCTGCCTATGAAAATTCCTGGCAAGAGCATGACCCATGTCATGCTTTTGCATGACAAAAGTTTGTTGACAAAACATGGTCTCATAACATCGAGTCTCACACGTGAGAAACTGTAGCCTTTACGTAATTCATCTCGAATTGATTTTTCAGGAAACATGATATGAAGATCTCTTTCAATTAAAGCGCGTTATGCCTGTGGATATCGAGAAACTAGCTGAAGGCTGGTTGGAACTCGAAAGTGATCCCGGATTATTCACATTGCTTCTCGAAGATTTCGGTGTACGGGAAGTGGAAGTGCGTGAAGTCTACGACGTATCTGAAAAGTTCTGGAATGAGGGACTCGGCGAAACGCGAGTGTTCGGATTTATCTTTCTCTTCAGGTAATCAACGATTTCTCGAAGATGATAATACCGTAAGTAATCAATCATATTCATGCAGATGGAATCAAGCGCGTAACAGGGGAAGACGGAAACATTTGCGCAGTCTCCCGGCGCAAGTCGTGGAATACGTGCAAGAGAAAGAAGTCGTCAACAGCATGTTCTTCGCGCGTCAAATGGTTCAAAACAGTTGCGCTACACACGCACTTCTATCAGTGGTCCTCAACTGCCCCGACATCGATTTAGGTCCCACGTTGAACCGTTTGAAAGCTCATACCTACGGCATGGACCCAGAGAACAAAGGATGGGCAATAGCGAACACTCCGCAGCTAGCGAGGGACCACAACGCTCATGCTAGTCCTCAAGCGCAAAGATCTCACATTGCTACTCAAACCGGAGCTCAGTTCTCTACTAACTCGATATCCCAACCGTCAGTAGGAACAAAATCTCGCATCATGTCGAGTTGCACTACTACTGTGTCTACCGAAACGTTCCATTTCGTGTCATACGTACCGATTCACGGAAGGTTGTATGAGCTTGACGGATTGAAACCGTCGCCGATTGATCACGGACCAGTTGAACCAGGGGATTGGACTGCGAAGTTTAGGAATATTATCATGGCCAGACTTGGGATCGAACTCGAGTCTGGACGCATCGTTAACCAAGTGAGTTCGATTCTTCATCTTCTTTTCTAACGATTCGATGGCCCATTTTCCGAAAATTCCTAACCCGGCGATTCATCTTGCTTATGGTATCGTTGTTCGTGATTAACCAGCGAAAGTGTGATTGACTTCGGTATTGTGAGAAGCTTCATAATTGTGGATTGCTAACTTGTGTGAGGATACTTCATTGATGGTAAGATTCAGTTGTTGTACGTTAGAGCAGTGGAAGATTACGCGAAAAAGTGTCTCGAATAGTTGAAGAAATTTTCCTTTGACGGTTTCTGTCAATGTTTGTCTCTTCTGTTTTGAAAAAGGCGTTCTATATCGATGTTTTGTGCTTGACCAGGACGACGAAATACATTTTTCGTTGATGGCTGTGATACCTCACCAAGGTGCGAGTTTTGTGCGGAAACGTTCCAAGCTTCTTCAGTGGAAGGCGGTGTTGGACTTTGCCCTGATCGAAGGAAACCTGGACAAGATCGACGACACCGTTCGTTCCTCCGTGATTGAATACAAGGCCAGCAAACGCGAAGCTTTCGGGGAAATCGACGCGGAACTCATCAGCAAAATCGCCGAGGAAATCAATGAAGACATTGACGTCATCGACATGGCCATCCGGGATGAAGCTGAAAAGCAGCGAAAGTACCGGATAGACGATGCCCGGAGAGCTCACAACTACGACGGCTTCATCACCACCTTCCTCTCCATGCTGGCATCGCAGGGAACATTAGAAGAGTTGCTGAGGGACCATTTTCATAAACCAGTGTGTGGTTTGACGGATTTGACAGCTAGTGTGGTTTTGAATTCCGGAGAGAGTCAAATCGTCATTCCTAGGCCTTTGAAACGGATCAGTGCGAACGGGAAGAAAGCGTCCGCCACGAGGCGGCGGACGAAGCGCGGGCGACCAAAGAAGGGGCTTGTCAAAAAGTGAAAATTGCAGGAAAGATTGTTATATTTTTTTCTCAATATGCCTGGTTTCATTTACTACCTTCTATGAAAAAGAGAAAAGATGCCTTCCAAGTGAGCTGGTTCATGACACCGTATGCCAAGATGTGCGCTTTCGAATTTTGAGGCCCTCTTTCTTCGTTGAAGCTGCCCTTGCGCTGAATCCAAGCATTTTTGTATATATGTATAAAACCTTTGAGCAATTAGAATTGTTGGGTTAATTATAGCTATCGTGTAACTATATTTTCAATGCGGAAGGTGGTCTTGTGTGAGAAACCCTGTAAACTCACTATAATAAGGTAAGAAAGAAATAAATTTTCCAGAGAAATTGACGAATTCTAGTCAATTTTTCAGCATTCATGCCTCACCGAAGCTGAAAACGGTACTGTAGTTCATTTGGAAATTCCAATCAACTTCCTTGAAATAGTGATTTTGTTCTGTATATTCGTTGGCATGTAATTGCGGTAGTAGTTCAAAAGAAGTATGCCTATCGAAAATGTAACCCACATGGTGAAAAATTATGCTAGAATGAGGATACCCCAAAATGTATACACACCAATGCTGAATTTTGGGCAAAGAGAATGTAAATTTTACTTATTGGGACATGACAGCTGTGAAAAATAAAAATCCAGTAAAATCCTGTTACAACAAATCTTATGAATAATTAGTGCTTGCAAATTAGCTTTGAGTCTGTCAATAGCAGAAATATTTCAATTTCATTGAAAAAAGAAGCTTTTTTAATCTCCCAAAGGTTTTCATGACATATTCAAAAAGATTGGATGTGTGTGGAGGCTTAAATTCAGATATCAGTTCCAAGTATGGAAGAATTAGTTCTAATCAGAGAAGAAGAAGAGTTTCCTGAGAAAAAATATACATCTTGTGGAAGACAATTCCAGTGGATTGGATTGGAATGTACACAAGGTACCCTCATGTGCTGGATTAGCCTTTTTGAAGTGAATGCATGGTAACATGAGGGGTTCTTTGTTTGTTGCATCCCTAGAAAAACAAAAGGTAAATTAGAGATACTGTATGAGCAACAAAAGATTGAGATGGAAACAACTGTCAAAACCTAAATGGGCATCTTCAACAAAGAACCAATGAAATTTGGACCACCATTATTCTCGAATTCTGAGAGCGGCTCATTAAAAAAATCAGGTCATGAATCAGGTGGGCATTAGGTTTGTATTTGTTTGACAATCATGAAAATGGTGTGTTTTGGCATGGATCATAACTACAATCTGCAAAATACCCTTCCAGGTCATGTGAGGGAGATTTTTTGCGGTGTGTCGTAATTCTTATTGTGCCCTGGCTGTGTGAAAAATGACATCAGCTATGCATCTCCAGCAACCAGATTCAAGTGAGTGCTTGAAGGGAATAGATAAATACATGAATGAAATAGAATCGCTGACTTCAAGGGGTTTATTGTTTTACAGATTTGCTCCAGCTACTCTCCTCCCTCAACAAAGTCAAGGGGACCCTATCAGACTCTGATGAAGATTTCGGCTTCCTCAATTCCTTGCTGCAATCTCGCGAGCTCCAGGCCCTGATCCAGGTTCACAATAGCATATCCAAGTCAATTAATGGGAATGAGACAGATGCTGGGACCCCTGTTTCCTGTCTGAGCATCACACCAGTCAGCAGTAATGTTGAGGACCTGGCCTATGATGTCCTTGACGTTTTGCACCCCCTGGCTTCCAAGTACAGGGAGGCTCGGGAACTCTACTATATCTTGCAGAAACCACATTTTCAGGTGAGATGATGTTTATATTGATCGACCTAGTGCAGTAAAAACCCAGAGGGACCCGAAAAAATTGTTTTGCAGAAACCAGCATAAGAAAAAGTTGACCATCAAGGGAAGGTAAAATTGGTGACACTGAAAGGATTCTTATGCAACAAAATTCAGGGTACCATATAAAATGCATTGTTCAGACGGCCTAGAAGATATTCTTTGCCCTGAATTATTGAATAAATTATTTGATGGGATGTAGAGCTTGAAGAGTTCTATTTCATTCAATTTTATTCTCTTTTAAAATTTGTCTACAATGTGAGTCAATGATGATGCACATACAAATTTTGAAAATGTGTACCACAGTATAGGGCATTCTTAAATTAAAAAATGAAGTTGAGTACTCAAGTATAGTTATTGAACCGCCCACAACAAATTTTTATTTGGCAATATTATCTATGCAACATTGCAAGGACAAAAAACCCCCTTGATGTTAAAACGGCTATCATGTATCAAGTGTATTTCAAAAATGGTTTCTGGTCCTTCAGTCAGGCGTGGAGGAAATGTCCAGCACATGGGTGTAATATATTCCCTATAAATTATATTCATGATTGGTTTGGTTCCACAAGAGATTAAATAATTTTGAAAACTCATTGTACCAGGAATGTGATTTTTGTTTTCAGAGTTTGTTCAGTGCGCATGACAGCATCACCCAAAAGGATTATTTACCTAGGCTTCCAGACATTCCCCTAGAAGTGGATGAGGATGAAGAGGCAGTGAAGATAGTGCAGTTGGTGAAGAGCAGTGAGCAACTGGTGAGACATTCAGTTGTTACTTGAGGTTTGGTGATGGTTCTGAAGCTTGTGGGGGTTTTCTTTTCTTTTCTCCCTTTGCACAGCCTGGAAAACTGGCTTTTGAGCCCATTGTTGTAAGTTTTGCTTTGTGTCTAATTGAAAATCAAGGACTGACATAATCAGCTGATTATGGTTATATCTGCAGGGGGCAACAATCAAAGCTGATGAGAAGACTGGCCAGATCCTGATTGCAAGGGTGATGCATGGTGGTGCAGCAGACAGGTCTGGGGTGATTCATGTTGGGGATGAGGTGCATGAAGTGAATGGGATTCCTGTCCACGGGAAAACTCCCAATGAAGTTCTTAAAATCCTAGTGAGTCTCAAAAGTCTAAAAATGCTATACAATACTTGAAAACTTACAGCTAATGTTTTTTTTTCTTTCTTTCTGTCTGTCTTCGAGCAGCAAGAATCTGAAGGCACAATAACGTTCAAGCTGATACCATCAGAGTCAAAGTTCCAGACTCGGGAAAGCAAAGTACGGGTCAGGGCCTGTTTCGATTACGATCCATCTGATGATCAGCACATACCGTGCAAAGAAGCGGGCTTGCCATTCAAGAAGCATGACATTCTGCACATAGTCTCACAGGATGATGCTTATTGGTAAATTTTATTCATTCCCTCTTGAACTATCCCTTGGATGGGATTTTTTTTTTCATGTCTAAAATATGATTCATTTCAGGTGGCAATCAAGACATGAAGGAGACAACAGCATGAGATCTGGAATAATTCCAAGCAAAGCGTTGCAGGAAAGGCGGATATTGTCTGAGAATGCAAATGGGCATGGTGAGGATTTCCACTTGAAATCATTGAAATTCCTGTTCTTTTCATTGGAATACTTGATCACTGAGAATATTTTCAAGCTATTTCAGAGGTGTCTGAATTTTTTCACAATTTACTATACAGTTGAATCTCTCCAAGTTTAACTGCAAGGGACCAGCAAACAAATTTGAGTTGGGGAAAACATGCATTTTGGTTGAGGAAGAAAAACAGAAATGCAGAAAATTTTAATATGCATGAATTGATTTTCAAATGAGTTGAAAGAATGCTGAACTTGGAAATTTTGCCTTCATACCATCAACACTCCATTTTTCTACCTTGATTCTTCAGAATGAATCTGCACTTGAGACTTGAATAGATAAAGTAAAACATAACAACCCTTTCAATTCAAATTTTGTTCAACTTCTCTGTCTTGAGTTCACCATAAAACTTGTGAGACACTGTCCTTTCTTTTTTTTATATTCTAAAAAGTCATTTGCGAGTGGAAGTGTGAGTAATTTAGGTGACATCCATCAGACATTCTGTAAAAATGGCATTAAAAAGGGAAGGATCAATATTATGAAGAAAAAAAATGTTCACATGTAACCACGACTCATTCAATTGTTCAGCACGTCATTTGGATAATTTCTGAGGTGTTTTTTCTTTTTTTTTTCTTACAACAGAAGTGAGTGTGGATGAAGGCTTTCTTGAGGTCCCAACCTACGAGGACGTGGCTCGATTGTACCCGCAACCCAGGAACCCACGCCCAGTTGTCCTTTTCGGACCCTCTGGCGTGGGTTGCAATGAGTTGAAGCGCCGTTTGATAGCAGTGGACCCTGACAAGTATCGCACTACAGTTCCTTGTGAGTTGAGCGCCATTTTAAAAATTTGCAAATCAAAAGACCCTGCGGCATTATTTCAGTTTTTAATAATAATACTGTAATTATTTTTTTCCAGACACTTCCCGTCCTCGGAAACCGCATGAAGTCGAGGGTCAAGATTACTTTTTTGTTTCCCGGGATCAGATCGAGAGACAGATTTTGGAAGGGAAATTTTTGGAATGCGGGGAATATAATGGGAACATTTACGGGACTTCAGCAGCGTCTGTGCACGAAATCATCAACAGTGGGCACGTGGCTGTCATTACTCCACACGATCAAGTGAGTTTCGAGGGATTATTGTCTCTCGCTCGAAAGTTTCAAAGAAAACTGTATTTCTTTTTTTAATGAATGGAATTTTCGGGGGGTTTCGTTGCAGCAGGCGATGAAAAGACTGCGTTCAGCTGAATTCAAACCCTACATCATATTTATTAAGCCGCCATCGCTGCAGGTTCTGCGGGAGACGAGGAATGCTTCCAGGATGGATGATGGGATTTCCCCGATCCGAAAATTTACGGTAACTAATAAATTGAATTTTTTAAAATTAAAAAATAATCTACACATGGACTTCATACAACTATTTTGACTGTCGCAGTGTTTTCATAACAATCAAGAAGAGCTTCTCTACGTTTTAAGATAAATTTTGGGAGATTTTCTCTTCGACTTTTGGCTCAACAAAATTAGATTATCTTGACCTTGTACTTCATTATCTTGAGGTAGATGTCACCTGAATTTTAGTTTTAGTTGTCTGTTCGTCATTCAGAACGCTATAAGTTGAGAAAATTGGAAATCCTGGTCATGGTACGAAATGCATTCATCAATGGTTTTTGTGATACTCCACGGGATGAAGAATAATTATGTACAACTGACAGCAGTTCTTTAGCTCTGTACAATATAATAGCCTGCTAACTTATGAAAGCTTTGCCTTTTGAATTGTTGAGGATTTTCAATTACAGAACCGCATTTTCTCTAATACACAGTCCTAAACAAAGATGTGCTCCTGCATTTTTTTTTTCTTCTCATAAACATTATGGAATAAATCCCAACCTTTGATGAGATGTGAACCTTAGTTTTTGCTCTTTTAGGTACAGTACTAAAATTAATACAGTATATAAGAAAATTTTTGGTAATAATATAAATTTAAGCCAAGATGAATTCAACTGTAAATATGTTTTCCATGCAAATCATTCGATAAAATAATTCAGAAAGCAAATTTTAAAAGTAGGGAGAATTTCTTGAACAATTTTACCTAAAATTATCCACACACAATACAACCCTATTCTTAAATAACGGTACCCAACTACAATGTGCACCTCATTATTTGTTGCCCTCAATTTATTGGGAAAGAAGGGGACGCACTTGGTACTTGGATGAATATGTTAAATTAGTCTGCTTCTCTTATTGTGCTTTTACAGGAGGAAGATTTCACAACAATAGTTGAGGAGGGGAAGAGAATCGAGACTACTTATAGCCACTGGTTCGACCAAACAATCGTCAATGAAGATCTGGGAGAAGCGGTCAAGGAACTGGTCCAAGCCGTGCACTGTGTGGAAACAGAGCCCCTGTGGGTTCCCTGTTCCTGGGTCCAGTAATGAACAGAGAGGGAGGACAAGTTTGAATGAAAATACCCAAAATCCAAAGTTTTTAGCTACTTTTTTGTGTTTTTTTTCGCTGAGGGATACGAAAAATTTTAGGGAAAAGAAACTAGTCAACACATTTGAAAAAGAAGCCAAAGGTTTAGGTCAGATTCGTTTTTTGGCAACTTGCCGTTCGGGTTCTATCCTATGAAAGCATCTCTCATAGGATATCCTCCTCTCTGCATAAAATCAATTTCGAAAATGGTCCACAGAGACGAATATCCTGTTCAAGGCTGCTTCAGGGTGACATTTTAAAAGAAAAACTCGTTCTGACTCTGGCAAAGCGCAAGGGACTTAATTCATCGTTGTTTTTTCGTTGCATGCTTAAGTTTGATGTTTACTGCAGCAGGTGTCTTGAGATCATGTGAGGGGCAAGTGCCTGTCTGGTTGTTATAGATCTGTTGTCAACTGATGTCGTGACTGACGTGAACAATTATTTGACTACTATCCGGTTTTTTTGTTGCTTTTGAAATCGAGAATCGATCTGAATGTGAAATTTGCATTACGAGTGTCAGGGTTTGATGAAGGAGTAACCCTGAAACAAGGTATTTGTTTTTTTTTTCTCTGCGCTCATGCTCTTCTCTCCTTCTTCCAGGTTATTGTCTCTATAGGGCTTGGTAGACTTGCACTTACAGTGTTGTGTTGGTTCCATGCCTAAATGCATCATGTTATCCTGTGGAGGACAAAATATTGAATCTCTTCTTGTTCAATATTCATGTGTGTCGAATTTCTTTCGAAATAATATCGTACAGTCATGCTGTATTCTACATTTTTATTGCAACGAATTTTCTTATTCACAGATTTTCCAACAGAAAAGCACTCTTTTCGACACAAAAGTTTCACTAAGACTGGTCGTTGGATAAAGGGCATTCAAAAATTCATCTTCAAAAAAAAAAGAACCTCGAGCAAATAATCAAGAAGAGCGACATCTTGAGAGTTTTTTCTTCACGAAAAACAAATTCAAAGCTACTAAAATTGCAGAGGACATTGACAGCAAAGGCTAAACTGCCAGCCACAAGTTTAGATAATTTTTGCCGTCACAGCCGTGCTTAAAGCAAGATATTCAGAAAAAGAAAAAAACAAACGAAAAACTGAGCAGTTGTTCAGAACACACCTGATCACGCATTTGCATTTTTCATGGATGCATATACACTTGAAAATGATTTCTCGCATCGTATAAACATACTTCAGTGCAGTTACTATACTTTTTGATTGCTCCAACATCAGAAGGTTTAAAAATTATTCAACAACGCAACCCCTTTCTGGTCTGAAGCCAAGCAACAAATTTCGTCCCATCTCAAGAACTATAGAAAAACGAAAATCCCTCAACAGCGAATTTAATGTACCTACGTAAGTATATGTACCGATTGATATACAGTATAAAGAAAAACATGGAAGCTTCGTCCTAAATCATCTTCACTTCTCCAGTGAATACAACGACCCTTCACATGAAAGTGACTCTCCTCCCAGTGGGTCCTCTTCCCCTCCCTGAATAGGATCGTCTGGATTTCTGAAATGCCAGATAAAGGTATCATACAGATACAGTTGGACCTCAATAACCCAAATCGTCAAATAACCTCCCTATGTAAATTTCTTCAGGTCCCTGTCCAAACTCCAATAATAGATACAATATTGCATTAAAATTCTCCCCATCCTCAAATCTTATTCTCCATGAAACCTATGAAATCAAAATTTTGAAGGCCACTCAGGTATTATTTTATTTATTGACACAAAGAAGAGAAAGATGCGCATACACAGAAAAGGAAGTGAAGGACCATAATTGGACAAATGAACCTTCAGCTTTATATTTCAACTTATTTTTAAATAAATTGAAGGCCCACAATATCAACAATTATATTTTCCTGTAAATCTTTATTCGTCTCCATCACCTAACAAAAATGTCGGTTTCCTTATAATAAGTTAATTTTTTTTCTAATGGTCCCCTCAAGTTCATGAATTAAACATGTTTGACTGCATATGGGACACTTTTGATAGAAGTACGTCAATGGTTATTGTGGCATGCATATATCAGTTGACTGTCGATACACTCTTCATTTCTAGACTAATTTTTTCTATATATCTATGCAATTGAAAAGAGTATTTCAATGACTTGCTCAATTTTTTTTTATACAAAAGTGTGGGGGTTGGAAAGGGGATCCATATACAGTATTACACATGAATTTGATTCCTTGAGTGTGCATCAGAGTTTAGTGGTTTATGGATTCTTACACAAAATAAATGGAATCACTCACCGACGGAGATGGTAGCTCAAGGTCCGAATCTTCTACCGGATCCACAGCATCCCAGAAACCAGGAGCCTTTTTTCGAGCGAACTCCTTCCTTTGCACCTTGCCTCTTTGGTTAACGCTGGTGGATGATGTCACCTGCTCAGCAGCAGGTAGTTGTTTATCTGCTGTTGTTGTTGTTGCTGCTGCTGCTGCTGGAGGCTCTGCTACCGAATCCTGTCATTGAAACCATCATATGCACATTATTTTTCAGTCAATGTAACACAGCTGTCCTGTAGTTATTGGCAAATTCAATTTTATCGGCTAATGTTTTTTAATGCATAATTTTTACCTGAATGAATATTTAATCTATGCAATAATTTCCATTTTAATTCCATCTCCTCAATTACTTTCATTACTTGTGTGTACATATTTAATCATTGCGGCACAAATTAGGATCCTCAAGAATAGAATTAATCGTGAAATTCGAATGAAATCATATATATGGACTGCAAACTAGGATAAATGAGGGGTTTCAATGCGATGAATCGCTCTCCACATTACATCTGATGCAGCACCAAGAACTGCTGCTGAAGCAGTTATATATTAGAAATTTAGAATACATCGATCAACGACTTACCATTGAAGTATCACTCGCAAACAAAGCACGGAACGAGTATCCTTCAGATGCTGATCGTTTCCTACGCGTTGGAGCTGTAGCTGCGGATGATGCATCCAAGATGGGCGTTTCTTGATGAGCTGCTTCATGAGAAGCGACTTTTTGTTTCTTCAAGCGCTCAATTTCTTCTTTCTATATTATAAACAAGAGGGGGAAAAAAATTACGAGAATATATGAATCAAACTCTTTGAGGATAGAAAAACGTGTTTAAATTTTTATATTGCAAGTATACCAGCCATGATGTGTCTCCTCCAGCAGCAGCTTCCGCTGGTTGCAAACTGTTGCTACCAGCAGCCGATGACTCTTCCAGCATTAGTTTTACAAGCGTCTCTGCTTTCTCCATGGATCTTTTGAGCTCTTTGATCCGGGCTTCACGTTGTTTGACGCTCTGCATCAATTCAGACTTTTTCTTCGCGTCCGATTCCTTCTCTTTGACCGCTTCCTTTGCTGTAATAGATAGGTATCAATTATGAACTCGACAGCACGTGATGTACAAGGTTCACATTCTGATAATATTGGCAAACATACACGCGTGGAATCGCTCTACAACGCTTTCCTCTGCATAACGATATTTTTTGGTCCTACACATACGGTCTGTTCCCATCATGTTGTAGGGGCTTTCCACAACAAAAATCTCTCTACAACGAATTTTTTACTGGTACCTTGAATTTTGCTGTATAGAGTCACCAGCTTATGCATATACACACCTTTTTGCCAAGCACAGAGAACCAGAAAATTTCCATAAAATTGTTTCCAGATTGGCAAATTTCTAAAAAAGTTTCTGTAGACTCAAAGTCATGAAATTCCAGAATTGAAAAAATTAAAATTAAAAAAATTAAAATTTTCCAGAATTAAAAAACTTTGTCTAAACGACTTATGGCATATATTAAATTTTTCTTTTACAAAAATTAAGTGAACAAATGAAGCAGCTGCAGTGGAATGTTTTGAAAAAATTAAAAAGGTGGCTTGAAGAAAGGTTTCTCAGAATGAAAACTCAATACAATTTGTTTCAGCATGTTAAAATGTGCCTGAAGTGCTATAAGAAAAGTCAACTACAGTACTATTTTTCATCAGATAATTTTAACTACGATTGTATCTTCAAAAATTCAAATACAGATCACATAATTCATTGCTACTTTTCATAATTTCATGATGCCGAAATTTTCCTGCAGAATGGCAAAAAGCTTCTGCAGACCACAGGATTGAAAACACAGCACTAATATATAATGTAACAACCAAAAACTGGAGTGTACTTTAATGTAAAAAAAGAAGTTCCTAGTATTGTACTTATTAAGAAGAAAATAGAAACTAAATCATTATTAGAACAAGTGAATGAAACAATAAGAGGCGTCAATATATGAATGACCAAAGACCTAACCTTACTTGAAAAAATTGAGATAAAAAAAATTATTGGGCCATCTATATTATTTTGACGATCAAGCTTCTTTTTAAGGTACGTTTACTTTCTTCAAGTGCTGATTCCATTAATTCCTTTCACAGTCTGATTATATTGTGCAAACTGCATACAATACATTTCGGCAATAGTTTACCCCTTCATATTCCTCATACAATAACACACCCACCTTCGAGCAATTTCCGCTGCTTGACAGCGAGTTGTTTGTTTATTCTCATGATTTTTCGGGAAAAACTCGAACTCGACGCCTTGAGTTCTTTTTCCTCTTCTTGCAGCTCTTTCAAAGTAAGAGCGTTCAGCCGACTCTGATCCACTTCAGATTGAAGCGATTTCGACTTTTCCAACTGAAGCTGGCTTCTCAATTTTTCCAACTGATGACACAGAAAATGTCAGACTTCTGCAGCAGCAGGGAGAGAGAGAGAGAGAGAGAGCGTCACAAAATACGGAGTCATACCTTTCTGCAACATTCCTCTATTTGCAAGTCCGATGATTCCTTGCTGTTAAAAAGTTCGTTCCTTTCAGCCTCGAGGTTCTTCAAGTTACTTTCTTTCTCGAGAATCATTTTCCGCAGTTCCGTCTTCAAATCGCTGAAATATTTAAAAACTTTTTTTTCAAAAACAGATTCAAATAAAAGCGAACGAAGAAACTTGCCTCTGCTTAGAGCTGACCGCCATGAGATCGATGTTCGGAAACATGGGTGAGTCATGAGACAGAACCGCTTCCAAATTCAGGTCGTACGCATCCAGGAATCTCGTGTTTTCAAGCAAATGCCGCATGCCATCTTTTATGGCACAAATTTGCGAAAACTTATCGTTGCACAGATTTTGTCTATCCGCTTTTTCGTTTGTCAACTAGAGAGAAAACAAAAAAGGAAATCGTCTATAATTACAACCCATAGCTGAAGATCATCAGCACCAACTCAAGTCATTATATTGAACAAGACGCAGGCAACATCTACATACTATCCAAAAAAATATATAAATTCATGAAAGATGAAGTTCAAAACTGCTTTAAAATGTGAGTAGTTCTTGACACGCTTTTTGATTGTCTATATAATCTAGTCAGAAGAACCGTAACATTCACTTGAGAAATACCCACACCAATGTTTTTCAGTCAAAATGTTTCATTAAATTTTTCACACAAGAAAGAAACGCGCAACCCATTTTTTTTCTAGCCATGAAGTACTACTATATTTCAAAAGTACGTATACACCTGGTTTTTAATACAAACTGAACCTGAATTCACCCAAGAATTGTTTCCATAGAAGAAAGCATATTCTGTTAAAATTGGTCAAGAATTGCCCATTATAGAAGCGTGTGTATACGGTACTGTAAATACCTAAACTTCGAAAAAAAGTGACCACGGTTGGCACTTGAGTGAATACGGTTATTTCTAGAAATACGAACGTTCTTAATAAGAGGGATTCTGTATCCACACACTCAACCATTATCATTGAAAATACGGCTAATTAAATGGCTGATGATGTGTGCATCGTTTCAAGAAAGACACTGGCTCGACTATCGAACAGGCAAACTTATGAAGTGGAAATAAGACTCACAGATTGGCGTCGTTCCATTTCTGAAGCAATCTGCACAAGCAACGTCCGTCTTTGAGAGTTTCGCTGCTCCAGATCCAACTCAGCAGAGGCGATTTTCTCGAGCAATCCATTCGTCAAAAACTGCAGTTTCGCTGTCAGGCAATTTTCCTCCACTCCATTCAGGAAACCGGACAAAGTTTTACGAAGCTCCCGAAGATCTTTCAGTTTTTTCTCTCGAGCAATCGAATATTCCTCGACATCGGAATCTGATTTCCATTCTGCTCTAGAGCAGTTGGTCGGTTCCACATTACACTAAAAAACAAACAAACAAAAATAGTGTCAGCACTTGTGCAGCAGAAATAAAATCATTTCAGACACGCAATCAGCATGATTTAAAATCGTTGCCCACAAAAAAATGAATACCTCAAAATAAAACCCCTGCACACTTTGGTTTCGGAATTTTCAAAGTTACGTCGCGTGTTTTCGCACTTCAACAAATAGCACAATGACAGGGAAAACCTGACAGTTTCACGCTCGAAACCCTGAAGAAAACCCACGAAACTTCCCGCCATCTTTGAAAAAGACCTGTTCTTAAAAAAAAAAAAAAAGGCGGCTCACCGATTCCGGTTGGTCCAGAACTTGCTCAAAGGCACGAATCTTCCCGAAGAAGTTCTCCGCGTCTTCGACCGCACTTCGTAGGAGGTCCTGGAAACCATTTCCCGAAGCAACGAAACTCTGCCACAAGAATCGTAGTTCATTCACACCTTCCATGCACTGCCACATGTGCAATCCATCGTTTTGCAACACTGCTTCTATTTCCTCTGTTTTAGCACCAACTTGAGCGTCCAACACTTTCAACACCGCCAATAGCTCTTCCCTGCTGGGTTTTCCAAAGATGTTTTCCAACGGATTGTTCAGGTCATCGGCGTTCAAGAAAGACGTGGACGAAGAGCCTGAAAAGAATAAATACTTCATTTTTATTCAACTGAGATTTAATTTGAAAGATTTTTTTTCTTCGTTCCCAGCATGAATAATTTTCTTACTAACTCAAATGGCATTCCTCCTCAAACCTCCAACATAACTCAACACATCAGACGCCTTTTGGCTATAATTTTATTACTGACACAGGAAAGAGAAAAGCAAATAAAATGTATAACTTGATGCATTTTCAAACTAAGTGAAAGACCAATATAAACCCCTGCATGCTTTGAAGTTCAGCATCCTTTCAACTCATTTAAGAATAAGCAATTTGAAGACCCAGAATATCACCGATTATAATTTCCTGCAATTCTTTTACCCACCCCCTCTCCCAACAAAAATGTTTTTTTCCGGAACTGGAATTAAGTTTGACTGAAAGAGGTTCAATTGTATTTCAATTTTTTCATTGCATGGAACTCAGCATGAAGATAAAATCAGCAGGATACATTTTTCCTTCATCGGAAAAGTGTAGCAAGTTAAGCACTCACCAAAAAACCCGAGAATGGCTTTCCAAGATTCAATCAACTGATTGAAATTCTGCATATTTTCCTGCACAGCGTCCAGACTGGAAAGTCTCGATTCTTCCAGGATGTTGACGAGTTTCCGGGTTTTTTCTGACGAGAGGAATGCATAGCAGCGATTGGAGAACTTGTCATCGGTGCTGCTCAAAGTTGAGGACCAGCAGTCATTGTCTTCGGATGCTGGTCCAACTCCAACGTGATCAATTCTCATTTCCAACTCCTTCTGCTTTGTTTCAAGTTCCTGAAGCCGAATCTGTTTCCTGGCGTTTTCTTCACCCTCTGCTTTCAATGCTTGTTCCTTCAAAGCACTATTTAAAAGAAAAGAAAAAAAGATATTGATGAGAACGATCATCTTTGGTGTTTTCTTGGACAACGCAAGTTTCAAACCAAAATACGCTTTTCCGATTGAACTTACTAAGCTTCACTCTGCATTTCTCGCATTTCCGAAAGCAACTTGGACTTTTCCAAGATCAGAACGTCCAGTTGCTTGCTTTTATCTTCAAGTTGAAGAACTTCGTCAGATACTCTGAAGGTTTCATTGGCTTTCAGAGAAGCTGTGAGACTGTTTTGTCCATGCTTGCACGCTTGAAGCTGTTCATATATTTCGTTTCCAGAATTTTCGATGTTTTTAACGGTAGGGTCTTGAACATTTAAAGCATCTTCAAGTTTCCGAAATTTAGCATTCCTTTGGGTTCGTAATTCGTCGCACAAGGTTTCCTTTACTGTTAACGATTGGCGAAGGGCTTCAACTTCTGAGTGCAGCTTGGAAACATTTTCTCTACTTTCCGCGAATATCTGCCGAAAAAGGAAAAACAAATTTCATCAAAATGTATATTCATGCAACAGCATTTGAATATACTGTACTTGAGATTTTCTGGCCTTTGTCTTTTGCTGGTGTCGAAGAAAGATGAGTTCTTCCATTTTCGCAATTTTAGATGGGAGGATCGACTTCTTCCGCTCATCTGTTATGGCCGATATCTTGTCCAATTCCTCATGAAGACCATTCAGAGTCTTAAAGCCTATGCATAGAAATGACGTAATCCATGGCAGAGAACGAACAATTTTCAATAAAACTGCGTATTTCATGGAATTCCACAAGAAAATGGACGTCTCCTCTAACTTTCGCTGAATTTCCAACAACACTTGAAACCATGACTCGGTCACTTCATTGATCAGCAGGTTCAACAGGACAAAAAATTGATGGGATTAAATTCTGGTGCGTAGATTGTGAACACTACGTATTCCTATACTACACACTCTTAATGGACTGCAATAACGCAAGTCACGGAATGAGAGGTCAGTAATTTCAAAATTCTAAATGCTGCAAGCACAACCTATACTTGAGGATTAGTTCGTGTGAAAAATGCACCAATAGGCCCGTTGTGAAAGAATTCATTAGTTGATGCGTCACTCACAATCATCCATGTCTTGCTTCAACATGTTCATGTTGGAGATCCGATCCGGAAATTCACGATTTTGAACTTTCAGAGTCTTCATAGACTCAGTAATATCATTCATGATGCTGATATCGACAGCAGCTTGTTCTTTCCGGTCTTCCAGAAGTTGATCAACAGAGCGACGGAAACTGTTGCTGATGTGAAATGATTGCGGTTCCTTGCAGCTTTGTAAATGATTCGTCAGAAAAAGAGAAACAGACCAACGCAAACTGAATATGGCACTCAACATATGAACGAATAAGTTTGACGTTTGATTGGTTTCACAATAAGGGGATGCATATATCTCACACAACCCTGGCCAAACTTACTCGGTCATTGCAGATGAGCACCGCTTGTCATATTCCTTCCTCATCCATTTGATCTCTTCCTTCAAAACCCGCAATCTCTCAATCAAGAGTGTTTCGTATTTCCTTGAGATCAACTGTTTGATAGTCCCCTCACGCTTCTCTACAATGTACTCCGACTTAGCTTCAGCTTGAGCAATCAGCTTGAAGTCCTCAATTTTCTCAAGTTCATTTCGTAACAGCTGAGATGATCCCTCTTCCCCTTCATGATCACTCACATCACTCATCATGCGAACGTTGTCTCAGGATCACTAGCTGATGTATATCCAATATTAAAGATGTGTTCAAGTTCTGCTGTAAGTAATCAACTTTAACTTCGATTGATCGTCAAAATTTTCCTTACGTTTACTTTTGATCAACAAATCATCTAGCAACCTTCACACAATGTATAGAGCAAATGCACCAATAGTTCCACATCAGTACAGGATTACTATCTCATACAGCCATCAGTGCTATCCTTTTTTAGTGTGGCATGGCTGCATGTACAGCATTGCACAGCCACGCTGCACCAAATGAGGATAGTGGTGCATGACCATGTATATACAGCCACGCGCTATCCCTATTATATATAGCTCCTGGCAACCTTTCTCATTTAGTGCAGCATGGCTGTACAAAAGGAGAAACACTTAAGAAAACCTTCATATAATGATCGCTTCGCAGCTCGGACTTCATTTCAATCCAAACCGTCATGAATGACGCATAATTCGACCGCAATGAAGGTTAGAAATGATGTTTTTCCTTTGCAATACGCTGTACAGTACTGTTGTATTTCGGAGTCTCTTATTGTGACGTTCATAGAAAACTGGATACTGTACAGTAAAACAAAGCATGTCCAAAAAGTTCGTCACATTAACTTACAATGAAGGGTGACTTCTACTCAGGCTAAATAAGGAAGACCCACTGGCACTTATAGTTGTACAACACAAGTTTATCAAATCATTCGGTTCGCGATCAGCACTTCGTACAAAATGTCATACCAGGGATCAGGAAGGTATATATGCACTCATCGAGACACCAGATATGTTGCTTCGTTGGCGGTTGCTACGAGTACCAGATTCGACTCGTCGTAGCTCGGAAGCTCTGGATAGTCTACAGACGGCTTCCCTCAAGAAATTCGAACACGCGGGCGCGTACCTGTAAAAAAATAGTAAGGTGGTGGCGGCATAGATGTCGCCAGTAGTTACTATACATCTCTCGCTCAATCTTGCGCTGTTCGTTATTGCTCGAGGGTTTGGTTTGGAGAGTGTAGAAGTACAGGCTGTAGAGCAGCACATCTTTAGAGGTCCCCTGGTATACCATGTACGTTATACAGTACATGATTTTTTTTTACGTGATCAAAACGATGTCAGACATGGATATAAAGATTGAGACCACCAAGGGAACATTCCTGAGTGCCTCCGACGCTCGTCATTTTGTAACCCGGACCAGTTCGCACATCGTCTCCTAGCAACAACTACAGTATATATACAGTATACACATCCACAGCACAGCACTTGAGCAAACTTCTGTCCTTGTTCGAGCGACATCTTCCTGTCAAGGGTGAAGATCTTGCACTTTTTTCTACAACACGCTAACGGGGTGAGGCTTTATCATGTACTGTATATAAGCGCTCTGGCCCTGACTCACTTCCTGAGACCAGCATCAGGAACCTGTTGTCATGATGATGTGAGAAGAAATAAATCAAAACCGTGTCATTTCCAGGGAGTTTTTTTTTACTCTTTCCTCAAAAAAAGACAACACGAAAGGAAAAAAGAAAATAGCTCGCGGTACAGACCAATAATAATCAGAGAACCGTATACCAAAACTCATTGTCAAAAAACCCGCAACAAATAAAAGAACGGATTAATTTGTTCATAATGGGACCCTATGGAGAACAGAGATTCGCTGTGAGGCTGGTTCACTGTACAGCCATGCCCCAGGAACGGATTGTGGCTGTAGTGAGGGGGCCCACTGTACACAATTTTTTTTTACCTGATCAGCACGATGTCAGACATGGATAGAAAGATTGAGACCACCAAAGGAACATTTCTGAGTGCCTCCGATGCTTGTCATTTTGTAACCCGGGCCAGTTCGCACATCGTCTCCTAGCAACAACTATATCCACACATTCACACTTGAGCAAACTTCCGTCCTTGTTCGAGCGGCATCTTTCTGTCAAGGGTGAAGATCTTGCACTTTTTTCTACAACACGCTAACGGGGTAAGGCTTTATCATATAATGCTGTGTATGGGCGCTCTGGCCCTGACTCACTTTGTGAGAACAGCATCAGGAACCTGTTGTCATGATGATGTGAGAAGAAATAAATCAAAACCGTGTCATTTCCAGGGAGTTTTTTTTTTACTCTTTCCTCAAAAAAAGACAACACGAAAGGAAAAAAGAAAATAGCTCGCGGTACAGACCAATAATAATCAGAGAACCGTATACCAAAACTCATTGTCAAAAAACCCGCAACAAATAATTCAAGCAATTAGTTCAACAATTATCCCCTCATCAATTTCACTAGCATCCCTAACACCGGAAACCCGAAATTTCATTCTATCCCCCTTTCTTTTTAAAGTCTCCCCTACAAGGACTGATTCATGGCAAAAGCGGAATGTCTTGTTTATTATAGTAAAGTTGAATACCAGCACAGAGCTTTTGAGATCTTGGAAAAGAACAAAAATGGCTGCCTCCATTCAATAACACACAGTTTGTAGAGAACATTACAACAAAGATTCCAAATCAACTGTTTTGCAAAAAAATCTAAGCACAATAACAACACAAAAACTTACAATTTCACACACAAAAGAGACAATTCATCCCAATCGGCTGAGAATGGAAATGTTCTGACATAAAGACTTTCATTATTTCTTTAATTACGAACAATAATTTCCGTTGACTTGAAGGACGATTGCCAAAATATATTAAAAATTAGGTGGCAGCCATTTTCATCTTTCAGCAAGATCAACAAGAGGAATGTTTCCAGCACAAATCTACCAACTGACGAAAAAATGTTCCAAAGCCGGGGGACAGGGTCAAAAATGTTGCAAACATTTTGCGAGAAAGGCAAATGAAAAAGAGAGAAAACTCCGAAAAAGGGGGGGGGGGCATAAAGGGAATATTTGCAAAAATTGTTTTCTTCTCATATAATTGGTACTGAACGGCCTAAGGCGTTCTTCCGAGCGAAAGAAAGAGAAAGAAAACCTCTCAAATTCCCTCCCCGAAGTCCTTAAATTCTTCCCCATCAACCAATCACAGGGCAGCATCAACGACACGAGCGACATCAAGCGGCCAATCACAGATCAGCTTGCCATAATTTCTTCTTTCTTTCCCTCTCTCTCTCTTTTTCCTTTTCACCAAAAAAAAAGAAGCCAAGAAACAAATAACTCAAACAATCTCTCTCCCCACTCATTAGCCTTTTTAAAACCCATGTGCATCCCAAGCCAAAAAAAAAAACAACCAAGAATTGGACCATGATGCAATTCTGGTTAAGCGCTTGACTCTGCGGGATTCTGGACCAGAGACATCCCACAAAGTCAACGTTCCCACTTTCTTATTTCCATCATCATCATCAGCAGGCAAACAGCACCATCTACGAAGCCTAAGGGCGTACAAGAAGCGACACCTGGAGCAGTCCGGCACGGGACACACTGCATCGGCTCCGCGAGGTGACGCCTCTTTCAAGCCATCACATTCAACCGCGTTTATAAACTTTTTCTCTCCCTTCGTAGCGCAGGTAACATCATCTTCAGCAATTATTTTCCAGCACGATGAGGAAACAAGGACTATTTGAAGGGAGATAAGAAGAAACAAACAATGGTGGAGCAGCGAAGCATTCGGAGGCCTTCTCCCGCGTTCTGATCCTCAACCATCAGCACAAATAACAGGCACACGCAGATGAGAGAGAAACAATACATGAAAACGAAAAAAAAAATAAAAGCACACGCACACTCAGCTGTACGCGGAGTCGAAGCTCTGCTGTTGCTGCGGCGGCGCGAAGGACCGCCTCGTCATTGCTGCTGCTGCTGGTGTTGCTCCTCCGCCAGCAGCGACACCTGCCGCCGACGCGGGAGGCAGGCTGACGAGCGACGAGGTCCCGTACAGCTTGTACCAGCCGCACACAGTGTTGGACAATTCCAGGTCGTCCAGCATCACCTGGGCCACGCCCATGAACACCTTCTTGCCCTCCATGCGTCCGTAGTCACCCCAGACAGTTACCTGCGTGGAATATATTAACCCGTCATTATTATTGGTGTCATTCGATTCCAGCACACCACCACAGGTGTCACTCATCGCTTCTCACTGGTGGACCCTCCAATCAGGATCAATGCAGGGGTAAAAAAAAAAAAAAAAATGCACAATACAATTGCATATACATTATGCAGCAATATGTAAATATCACAATGCATGTTCTACATTAGCCAAATCTAACTCATTATCCTGCACACCAGGTGTCAGTTCCTGCAAACATTTCAAGAATTCACCATAGTTTTTCAAACTCAGCTAGCTCATGGTCATTATTACAATTATTTTGTGCAATAAAATCGAAGTGCAGGAAATCCCTTCCAACAAATGAACCATATTTCATAATAATCTATATCAAATATAGAGTGACACTGACATTTTTGTTCTCCATGCGTGCATAGTCTGAATGATCTACTTTAGATGTCACTAGAGCTTCTCTCTGGACTTCCTGGGATTGAACAGCCTGGTGACCACAAAAAATGCCTTGAATATATATATATATATATAAATACAGGTGGACTCTTTCTTCAACAAAACTCAAGGGACAAGAAAAGAATTTGCTGTACAGATACATTTGTTTTAGAGAACCAGTATAATATGGGGGAGAGAACCCCATGGGACCAAACAAAATTTTTTATGCAGAGAAATTTGTTGTAGACAAGTTCATTGTAGAAAGAGTCCACCTTAAAAATTAAAACACAGGATTTCAACTCACATCTGAAAATTACAATTGAATTTGAAACTTATTATATAAGAGAATACTGTAATAAATTTACTGTGCATATGATTTATTTTCACAAAGAAGGGCTTTGAAAGAGGCAGCATTGAATTGAGTGCAATTGACAAAATTTTTAGTCTGTCAATAACTTGATTCTTGGCTCATTTATCAAGCAAAGTATATACAAATACCTCCAGAATTAAACCACAAGCCAATGTCTTTCATTGGCATTTCTACAATACTGTTTCTATTCACATTCAACTTACCTGAAGGACGCATCCGGTGTAGGGGTGTGTGAAAATGAGGGATTGCTGGTATTGGGGATCAAGGGTCCTTTTTGGTGCAGTAGTCTTTGCTTTCCCCAAGCACTTCTTCCCATCAACCAGGTACACCTTCACATAAGGTGCTGGGAACAAAGATGGAAATACAACATTAAGTTATATAAAAAAAACGTTGGGACCAGAAATAATTCCAAGAGGTAAAGCTAATTCATACTGCAGTCAAAATTTTAAAATCTGCAATAAAAGCATCCTGATATTGATCAAATGCAGGAGTCTTGGCTAACAATTGTCCCTGCTGGAAACAAAACTATGACTGAATTTTGTTAAGTGGATTAAAAATACAGACTTAGAAAGTAAACATTATTAAAGGGCAGAAATTGCAAATTTCCACTGAGAAAGGATTAGAAATTTTCTGATCCAGGTGATAAAATTTATACTCAGGAACAAATTGGGTTCATTTGACAAGACCCCACTACAGTATATACATTGACAAATCTTATTCCTTGAAAAAGTCAACAATTTTTCTCAAAACTCCTTCTTTCAATACATAAATTACTGTACTTCAAAAAATCATGTTCCACATTCTTCAGCATCTTCTAAACACAAATCATTATAATCAAGAAAATTTAATTTCAGACTGGGACAAATTGCATTTGTTTGCAGCAGCTTTCAAAAGACAGGCATTTTGCCATGTGCTGATTTTGTCATAACACACACTCTAAAATCTCATGTTCCACCAGCTTCAGAATCTTGAAAAAAAAAAATCTTGATGATGATTACCATAAACATGTAGATGAATACTTTTGAATTTTGCAACAAACCTGGAGGGATCTTGGCCCCAGCCTTTGGCTCCAAGCGCCTAGCTCTGATGACCTTCACCTCCAACTTGCCATTGTGGTCACAAATGGACAACTGGACTTCCCCCAGGGGTCTGGAACCCAGCACTTGTCTGCCAACCATTTGCCCTGGCCCCAGGCCTTCCACAAAGTCTGACAACTCTCCTTCCCCTGCCATCCTCAATGTTGGCATCCAACTGACCAACACAGACAGCAACAAGAAAAAAAAAATCATTAGCCCTCTCTGAACTCAAAATATTATGAAAAAATTCAATTTTGTAAAAAAAACCATGATGTGCAAGCAGAAAAAAAAAAACAAGCTACTCATGCAGCATTCTCAATATCCATCAACACACATGTTGGCTGTCACTGCAAAAAGCTCACTTTGCTCTGGCAGGCAAAATGTTCTGTGCAAAATGGCGCTTGGACTCTTGAAAACCAGAATAATAAGTGATGAGAAAGGGGGGGGGATTACAAAGGCTGAGCAGGATTCATTTTGGGAGAACACTCTTTTGGATAGCTCATATCCACATTCTGAAACAGAGGGCGCTGCAGTTGCTGAGTATAACACAGCAGCACATGACAGGGTGCAATTATGTAAGTGCTTTGGTTTCATAGGGTTCATTCAGATCCCCCATAGACACAAGCTTTGGCTCATTTGCAGATGCTGCTCAGGAAGAAGGATGAGGGGTTGATGACTTTGCATAGGGAGACAAGATGGTTCTTGGGCTGACATCTGGTGAGGAGTATAGGACTATAAAGGGTGGTAAAAATAGTAAGAGACAGCAAGAAACAGAGGAAGTTTGGCATGGATGATGAAAAGTTCACAGATTTTGTCAGGGTTCAAGGGACTCTATAAAATACCCCTCCATTTTGCGATACCAACTTTATTTGAACTACTTATATGAGCATAAGAGTAAAGAATTTCAATGTGAAAGGATTGGATATTACAATTTTTATACTGATTTAAAGTCGTTCTCTGACTTTGATTTAATAGCAAATGTTCAATCCTCACTTCTTTGCATTGCTGATGGACAATACTTTTCTTTTTTCCTTCATCTATTTATTTAGTTTGATGATCAAGCCATTTTGAGGAAATGGCGACTCATTAAAGAAATCTTAATTAAAAATAAAATTCAATTCTGCAGATATGAACTTTTCTTTTCTACAAAGCTAATGTGTTCCACTTCCTGTTCATTTCCCTATACATCTCCTTTTATATTTGGAAGATTAAAATTTTGCATGAAATATTTAATCTGCAAAAAAATTATACCACTCTAACTCAAATATCAATTAAATCCCTGGCCAATGCCCTTTAAGACTAGTGCAATTGAAATTTCCTCAACTTGAATCTGCTTTGCTTAGTCAAATTTTCCATTTCCCCTGGTGTAATTATTTGTAATTATTATTATTGTTATTATTATCAATGTTATTGCTAATTATTATTATTGTTAATTAATTATTATTGTTAATTATTATTGTTAATTATTATTGTTAATGATTATTATAATATTATTATTATTGTAATTATTAATTATTATTTCCCCAGGTGTAATTATTATCCTTTGCTTAGTCAAATTTTCCATTTCCCTTGGTTTAATTATTTGAACTAGGACTACATTTTAGAAAAATGCAAATACAATTTTCAGCATACTTTCCTTGAGGAGTTTGGCAACTTCCAGCAAATATAGGACATCTAAGAACAATAAATAAACTCTTCAATAAATGATTGTATGGCAGAAAGTCATTTTAACTCATGATTAACCTACATAAATCAGGCCATACTTTCTCATAAAAAAAACCATTTTTATGTAATTTGAATTCTTTTTAACAGTCCCTTCAAAATTTCTTTAGATAGGTTTAACTGTACCCAGGAAAACACTGAAAAAACTCATCATAAAAAGCAGTCTTAGAGTGCTGTGTACAGTATATGAATAAAGAATCTGAGGAAGAGGGATAAGAAAAAGAATAGACACACACACACACACACACACACACACACACAGAGAGATGAAATAAAGAGAAAAACCACATCATCATCATCATCATCAGTAGCAGCAGCAGCAATAACTTATATAAATGCTTGAAAAAGAGGGAGGGGTGATTGGGTGGAGGTGGGTCCTCCTCCTCCTCCTATTTTTCGGACCGGAAACAAAATGGACCTAGGGAGTCTTGATTGTGATGCCTGGCTCGGTAGTCATGACAGAAACCTGGAAACGACCCACTCACGGCCTACAGGCCATCCGTTCACTTCCTGGCTCCGCTGCACCCCACTACAACCAATACCCTTCTTTTTTATCCTGGGTCCTGCGGGAAAACACGGATACGAACCATAGCTATTTCTGTTTTTTTTGCTTTTAAATTTCCTTGAGATATGGACACACATTTATAGATATATATATATATATACCATACCAGCAGCAACAGTGAGGTCATGCCACTTTTATATATATAGTGACAATAAATAAATTATAAACATAACACTGTACTTCTTTCACACCAGCTCTGACCACAGGTTATTAATAATGAGTCAAATATACACTGAAGTATTAGAACCCACCATAGATCTGAGAAATCATCACAATATATGCTTTGCATATTGCAAAAAATTGCTGAACAGGACCAGACAAAAATTGTCCCACCCCATGCAATTCCTAGATTTAATAAATTTGTTATCCAGTAAAATTGGATAAAACTTGCCAGATGCAACTTACAGTTGAACTTCTCAAGTCAAATTTGGAGGGACTCAGAAAAATGCTAATCTGATCTAAACTTCTAATTTGAAGTTGGAATATTTGCAAGTTAATCAATTGGAATGATATTCTAGAATACTTTTTAAAATACTTCAGCATTCATTGAAGTCCCATATCTGCAAGAAGTTTCCAAATTCCTTTGAGAAAAGCATTAAATTGCAAATATTTTGTTCATGTGTTCTAAAATGTAATCATAGTTTAAAAAAGACAAGGGAAATTGGATAATTTCACAAAGGGAGATTAAAGTCTAAAAGGTTTGAGTTAAGGAGGTTTTTGACTTGGGAGAGGTTGAACTGTATTCACAAAAATAAAAGTGTGGAATATTTGTCCCCTTGTCAGCAAAAAAAAGAGATCCCATTGACAGAAATGCTGTTACCTCAGCATAATCAAAATCAAAATTTTAATTTTTCTTGATTAAAAGTGCTCAAAAAAGCATGTAAAATTTTGAGAAAAATCCCAGAAAATGCAAACATAATAGCTGAAGAAACAACATTTTTTAAAGCTTTTCCAATTGCTATTAAATTGGGTTGCAATATTTCTATAACCATTTCCAGTAGAATTAAATTTCACAAATATATGAAAATTCCAGTTTATGCATATGTCTCACACTTGAATGACTGAATGTAGTCCTTCAATGTGAACTCCTGCAGTAAAAAAAATATGGCAGGAACATTTGATCCAATCCAGCACATCAGAAGTACATGTAACATACATGAGTAACACAGCCAACATGGAGCAATGAATGTACTGTACAAGAACTTCTCCACAGACCAAGAGGATGCCATCAAAAATAAAAGGACACTATATAGGCCACTAAATGAGCCTTTTAAAGCTCCTTCAGCCTCTAAATACTACACCAACCATCAAATAGCATAACAATAATGGATCCCTCCTGATTCTCTACCAAAAATACTGCTCTTTTCTACATGTGTGTGCTCATATAAGCACAAAAGGAGCAGGATTCTCCCAACATAAAGTATATGTGGAGTTTTACATTCCTGGTCCCTTTGTCAATAATGGCACAAACATAACTAAGCATATACTCCTCCACATGGAGCTAAGTGAAAATCAAAAGCAAAGCAGATACAAGCTAGTTCACCTGACCCAAGGATTCACTTCAAATACCATATTATCAATCCACAGATACAGTGGTTCCTTTTACAATGATCACAATTTGTTTAAGCACTAGGTTTGTTGTACAAGTCATTCCTTACAAAAATTAACTGCAGCATGTCATTGAGGCTGATGGTCATGCATTAAAGGCATACATTCAATGGGTTGTCCCAGTTCTGCACAAATGGTATATTGTACACAGATATTTCTAATATTATTGAAAAAAGTTATAATCGTTCTGGCAATCTTTCAGGTTTTTCTGGGGGATTCTGTCAGATTTGTAAGACAATTTAAATTTTTTGTAGACACTCCATGATGAGAAGTAAAAGCTTTCCAGTCAAGGACAGAGTTTTTCACAGTGTGCTGAACAATTGCCAAGAACAGTAGTTGAACATTGCAGTTTTCTGTTTCTGTAGAATACAATATTATGTTTTTTTCCATCTAGGGTGAAAATTCCAAGATTCCTGGCTCATGAGTTCCCTCATTGTTAAGAAAAGGCAACATATTTTGGGAGGATAGGAGTTTCAATGACTGTGAATGGTCTGCATTTACAAAATTTCCACATTGTTCCCACATCACTTTCCCTAGGATAACCTTTTTTTTGCATGGAAATTAATGTTTTCAGGGTTTATAGTCTACAAAGTTTCACCATTCAGTGAGAACGTATCCAGCTTTGCGCAAAACTGGGACAACCCTCATGTTCAACTCTCAATGTCTGTATAGCACAGTATGTATGATACAATACAGTACAATGATATATGAATATGATTGAGATCACAAAACAGTTCTTTCATCTTCAACACATATATGATGGACATCAGGTGAACTCTTATAATATGCTGTGGAGGCTATACTACCTTATATGTAAGAAATGAATAAAATAGCTAAAATACAGCACAACCCAATTATCTTTTCTCTCTCTCTCTACAATTTCTCACTAAGTTTTTTTTCGACACTGATATACACAACGAAAAATATATACTGTATATACATAATGGACGCGGGCAATACAATATAAAATAAATGTATTCATATACAGTATAAATATATATATATATATATGATGAATATATGTGTATAGGGGGGAAACCTCTCTTCGTCGTCGGGGTCAGAGCACTGGCTGTGTGCGGAAGACAAGGGCGGCTGTGCCTGGAGTTGCTGTTGGCGCTGGAGGCGCACTTCCTCCGGATACACTTCCTCACTGCGGTGGACAGTGATGGAGGACTTGCCGCGGAGACCAAAGACGAGGCGCCGTTTCCGTCCCGGGTTCTCGGAACTGCTCGTCCCATCTGGGGTTTTCACAGCAGTCACCGGGGGGCGTCCATTCATCCAAACTCTTTCTTTCTTTCTTTCTTTCTCATTCATTCATTCATTCAAAATTCAACGCCCTCTAATATTATGTACTGGATGTTTACTCCATACATATATGTATGAAATCTTCAGCAAAAATTTTTTTTTTTCCTGCATACCGTGTACATAAATTAATAGTCTCTACATTTGTATATATATATATTTTTTGAATCAAACCAAGATGGAAATGCCGACCCCATCCTGATTCATCACCAGCAACTATATATTATAAAGAACAACTAGCGACATCTGGTTTAACAGGCTATTGGTATACATATATGCATATATATATATATATATATACAGGGTGATTCACACGCACTAATACAGCATTTTATATGTTGTGGCATATTTTTCCAGAGGGAGTTACAGTAGAGGGAGTGATCAAGAAATTTTTTACTGGTATCAGGAAGAATGTAAAAAAAAAACACACATTGAAGTCAAACAGACAGGTTTTTGGGACTACTTGAGAAATTAAAGAAGGATTGTTTGACTTTTCCAGAAAGAAATTGGTTCGCTTCATAAATTGATGAATGTTTTTGTCCTGGGTGAGGTATTACAATATGTGATCATGAAATTTGTTACAAGTATGAGGAAAAAAAAAACATTCTGAAGTTGAACAAATAGGGTTTTCAGACTTCTTGGGGATTGAACAAGGGATTGTTTAACCTTCATATAAAAAAAGTTTCAATTTTCTCATTCATTATTTCATTGTGTTTTGTGCAGGGTGAAAAGAAGACAAAGCCCAATTTTTGAGTTTTCATCTGAATTATGGTTTTTCAAAATCAAGTATGCTGCATATGTATAGGAAATCTTATTCCCAGTGCAATTTTCATTCAAATGGAAACATAAATTCAGACAGCTTGAAATACAGAGGCACATGGAAATTCATTTTCAATGAATGTTGAAGTTACTTAATCAGTGATTAAAGAAGTTTATTTAAAAACTCAGAATGTTACATACTTTTTTCTTGAACCTTTTCTCAGTAATCAAAGATTTAATCAGAAAATGAGTACCTTTCATTTAATCTGAAACATAAACCAAGATGGAAATGCCGACCCCATCCTGATTCATCACCAGCAACTATATATTATAAAGAACAACTAGCGACATATGGTTTAACAGGCTATTGGTATACATATATGCATATATATATATATATATACAGGGTGATTCACACGCACTAATACAGCATTTTATATGTTGTGGCATATTTTTCCAGAGGGAGTTACAGGAGTGATAAAGAAATTTGTTACTAGTATCAGGAAGAATGTAAAAAAAAAAACACATTGAAGTCAAACAGACAGGTTTTTGAGACTACTTGAGAAATTAAGGAAGGATTGTTTGACTTTTCCAGAAAGAAATTGGTTTGCTTCATAAATTGATGAATGTTTTTGTCCTGGGTGAGGTATTACAGTATGTGATCATGAAATTTGTTACAAGTATGAAGAAAAAAAACATTCTGAAGTTGAACAAACAGGGTTTTCAGACTTCTTGGGGATTGAAGAAGGGATTGTTTAACCTTAAAAAAAGTTTTAATTTTCTCATTCATTATTTAATTGTGTTTTGCGCAGGGTGAAAAGAAGACAAAGCCCAATTTTTGAGTTTTCATCTGAATTATGGTTTTTCAAAATCAAGTACATATGCTGCATATGTATAGGAAATCTTCCCAGTGCAATTTTCATTCAAATGGAAAAAAGCTCAAACAGCTTGAAATAAACAGGCACATGGAAATTTATTTTCAATGAATGTTTAATAATGAATTAGTCACTAATTTCTTCAAATAAATTTTTGAGTCTTAAAATGTATGAAAAAAGAACTTGGAAAAGAGTCATTAGTTTCTAAATTAGTCTTTTACTCATGGAAAGTAAATTAGACTTTGTAATATTTTCTAAATCCTGGAGAAATGTGCATAAAAAAGTAAGAAACATCTTTGTTTTGTCATTTCCCAAAAGTGAGTTTCATAAAAACAGTGATCTTCAATTGATGATATCACAAAGCTTCAGACTGACTGAAAAAGTGTTTTCAGTAAAAATTTCCAGGGAATTTTCAATCTTTCACCAAGATACAAAAAATTTTGTCTTGTAAAGCAACCCAACTCTTTTCTGGACCACTGTGTGCATTTACTTCAAAAAATTCCGCGATTCTTTAAATTAAAGCGTTTCAATCACCCCAATAATGCATATATTATTATAGATGGATAGATATACGGCATAGTTTGTGAATAGGATGAGTGGAGTCTCACCAGTGGCTGAAAGTTGGGAAGTTGAACTGGACTTTTTCCCGAGTCCCGCCAGGGGGCCAAAGAGTTTGGAGCCGCCTTTGCCACTGCCGATCGAGCCGCCAGAGGGCGACCTGAGCTGGCTGTTGGCCCCTGGGTCGTCTCGGTGCGACATCTTCATGATCCCCAGCTGAACTCCCGTGTCCGACAAGCAGCCATCTGCAAAAACACAATTTTCACATTATCCAGCAAACATTATTATTGCAGCAAACCCTCGGTTTATTCGCGTCTCCGGATTTTATTTGAAATTTAGCAATTATACTGGACTTTTTTTTGGGCCGAAAAATTCGCAGATTTTTTCGAAGTTTTGAACTGAAGACTATCAGAGAATTTTCTAAAAAATCAAGAAAATAAAGGATTCAGAGAAAAATTGTTTCCTGTCTCCTCATTGTCTTATTTACAATTTGATGAATTCAGAAAGTTTTGAGCAAGGTGAGAGAAAATGGCCAGGATTACTCCAATTTCATGCTGAAAAATATTCAATTTAAAATTTTCTCTGGACAAATAAAAGTATTTTCGGAATTTCCAATACAATCTATTAAATGATAATCTCAAGAAAAACCGTGTCACACGCACAACAAACACTCATATAAACATGAATGACGAATTATTATTTTTTTAATGCGGGGATACTCAATTATGTTCTGCTCACTCCAAGCAAATAAATAAGTTAATATTGCAGTTTGAATAAAAAGGGATTTTCGCAACGATTCTTGACCTTTTTCTCCAGCTTCTTCACTCATGCTTCGCGGACCAAGTCTTCTTCTTCCGCCGCCAGAACTCATTCCGTGGTACATGTCTCCTGATCTTCCACCCCTTTGGAAAAAACGAATGTCAAATACAATGTTAAATGACTATTATGGCAGTAAAAATTGACCACGCAGTTTCATCTAAATACCTTTTTTGCGCATGCACAAATTTGCTGGGACTATAAAAAATAACCGCTGTTTTATTGGAATTTTAAACTCAACAAAATGTGGGACAATTTCGCAATAAATGCAGGGAAAAGGTGATGAAAATCATTTCCTAAATTATACCAGAAAAGTTTGAAACCAGAATCTGATCAGACAGCTCTTTTTTGACATGAAGAGAAAAATCCAGCCGAAATAAGTATGAAAGATCATAAAGGGATTGCCTCCCATTTCAATCAATAACTCCTTCTTCCCCTGCTTCCATTCAATCATATGAATAATTTTCTAGAGAATATAATGCCATCATCATAATTCACCTCAATAAATTGTAAAATATTTCCTACAGTATTTGATTCTTGAAAAATTAAAAACTATGGAACCTGATCAGGCAGCTCTTTTTTTTTGCAATACTATCCTAAGTAGTCAATTAAAGTTGATCAAAACAAATAAACAATTATGTTGGATGCCTCTTTTGCTGTAAGTCATTATTTTGCTTTGATATTACCCATTAGGAATAACTCAAAATGAGAAGTATTGAAAATCATGGCTGGGGCATTTCAAAAGGCATAAACTTATCTTTACAAAGGCAAAAGTGCAAACAGATATACTATACAGTATTTGTTTATGACTGCGCATAAACAGAAATGGAACCAGGATGGCCAAAAGGTAACTGACCAGTGACCAGCAGACACTGTGATATGACACAGTCTGTTGGGCAATTCATAAGTTGCTATATAACCATATTTTCAAAATGTACTGTAAATGGTGTATTATTAACGTGTTTTGGGACACACTTAATTCTTGGACAGCAGATGGTTCCTGGCCATCCTGTGGCAACATAGGGAATTTTTTCATGGAGACCCAGGGGCATTTTGGTTTGAGCAAATGTCACTGAAATGCCCCCAGATTGCCAATAAGGCCTAAGTTGGGAAAAATTCAGGTGCAGAAAATCCCATTGTCTCAAGAAATCCCAACTGTTAATCCTATGCTGATGATGCATGAAAAAACACCATCCATATGGAGGAATTTTTTTTGAGCGAAAATATTTTGAAGGATTATACAAAAATATCAGCCTTTTTCCTGACTTAGACCTTGGTTCAAAAAGAGTATCTTTTATAAATTTGCAGCCCTCATGAAGGGGAAACACTTTTTTTGCAAAAATATCCTGACTTTGCCCCACAAGGGTTAAATAAACAGTATTAAGATGACAGCATCAAGCAGAGAAAAACTCCTGCCCAAATAAGTGTTTTAGGATCTCATCCAAAAAACAAACAAAAAAATCTAGCCTGGCATTTCCATCCATCCATCAATCAATCAATAAATCCTTCTTCTCCTTCAGGTTCAATATTCAATCGCAAAAATAATTCATCATCAAACATCAAATACAATCCCATGGTCATTCTTTGTACCTCGACAAACTGTGGTGGTCTCGCCTGCTGTCTGACGCAATTCTCTCAGACTGAGTCGACAGTCCACTATTCATACTCGTCTCACTCTCAATATCCGAGTCCACGAGTTCCGCCCCGCCAACACCAGCTCCTCCTCTGATATCTCGGTCTCCACTCAAAATACCGCCACCAGACGACATGTGATGATGATGATGATGGTGGTCTCGCGATGACATACCGACACCACCACCACCACCACCAAGTGGTGCTGACGATGATTCGTACGAGTGCGGCTCCTGGTCCCGATGATGATGATGATGATGATCTCGATGGCTGCTGCGTCGCATGCTGCTGCTGCTGCTGGCGGACGCCATCACAGAGCCCGGGTCCCGAGTGGCGCTCATGGAGCGGCGGTGGCGCGGGTGGTGCTGCTCCGCCTGCGACAGGCGGAATTCCCGCTCGCGGTCTCTGCTGTACCGATTCGAGTCTTCCACGTCGCTTCCGTAGCCTTCATTCATTCATTCATTTTTGAGAGAGAGAGAGAGAGAGAATAAACAGATTGGAATACAGAATATATAGCTATATAAGGAATATCATATGCTCTCTCATCTCTCTCTCCAAAAAAAATTGGAATCTGCCATTTTTTTTAGAGGGAGAGAGATAGAGAAAGAATGAGCCGATTGAAATACAGCATAAATATAAGGAATATTATGTTCTGAGAAAGCAAAGAAAGACATTCACAAAAATCATCAAAACAATTCTTCAATCCAGCTGTCCTCAAATCTGTGCGGAATATATTATTTATAAAAATTGCGACTACATAGGGAATGTTTTGAGAAATACAATGGCACTTATTACAATAATAAATACATGTAAATCAAACAGTTCACACAAGGGATTCAACTAAAGTTCTCGAGATAAAAATTGACATGATGTATATGATTGAGTTGGATAGGAATTTTTGTGCAAAAAAAA